ACATATTTTCTAAAAATTAAATCGTTTATTATACAAAGACGACGTCTCTAAAATCTACCTGTAAAGACGTCAAACTAGCTCATTTGATACGGGCTTTTGGTATATTTAAATTGCAAATTCGGTCCCAGGTAGATTTTTTATGCAAATTGGTAAGTTTCAAACCCGTTTTTATAGATAAAGTTATATAGAATTTATTTCAAAAGTAGTATTCAAAACACACAAATTGAAGGAATATTACCTTAAACATCAGAATGGAAAAACAAATTTAATGTGACATAAATTACTTATTTTATTGGAATTTAGTTTTACTCTATGCATTTTCTTTAAAGTTGTTAAAATTAAATAATAAATTGTTCACAAACTAAATATGTAAATAGAATGCAAGACAATAAAAATAATCTTTATTATTGTGATTCGGTGAACCAGGGACAATTCAAAGTCACAAGAAGACCTCATCTAGATAACGCCGCATATTTATGCCATTACGTGCTGGAAAATTCTATTTCATTAGAATACGATATATTTTAAATAACATGTCAAACTATTGACAGTTTATTTATTTACGACATTTCTGAATACGTCAAATATTACATACTGTTTTTTTATAATATCTGCAAAGTTTTTGTAAAATTGGCAAAATTTAAATGCCATGCAGATAAGTTTTTAATTTTACGAATAATATTACAAATTAAAATCGCTGAAATATGTAGTTTTTTTCTATACCTGTCAAATTGTTGTGAACTTGGTAACAGTTGGCAATATTAACAGGGAATTTTGTTATATCATGTTTTAAAATTAATTTGTGTCATGTTGACGTTTAAATTTTCGTTATTTAAAAAGATACAAATCAGTTTTTGATTTTCAATCTATTCAAAAATAATTGCAACAAAATAAACGTAAGAAAAAAATGCATCTTATTGAGAGTTACTGTAAATGTTACTAGAAATCAGAAAAATCAGATACAATTTATAGCGACTCTAGGTGAAACCAACAGAAACCAGAGTGTATAGTTGAACTCGCGTATATAGTTCGTTTTTTTTCTATAATACTTGTCAATGTAAATTTTTTAGGGTTTCTGTTGGTATTATCTAGGACCCTTATAAAATGTATGTCGTTTTCTTGATTTTTAGTAACATTTTCGGTAACTAAATAGTTGAGGTTAAAACACTAATAAATTTTTAGATAAATACGATTTTAACGAAGTACATATTTATTGTAAAAACGTGCTATAAAGTAATTAAATAGAACAAAACGCCTTTTCTAGCTAAATAAATGGCAAATCACAACATTTTTTATGCACCTTTTCTTTTTAAATAACGAAAGCTCAAACGTCAGTGTGATATATTTATTTCAAAACATGATAAAACAAAACTCCCTGTTAATTTTGCCAACTTTACAACAATTTCACAGGTATTATAGAAAAAAATGAACTATAGTTACCATATCAAAAAAAATGGTAAGTCTGGAAACATTGAGAATATCAATTCTAGAATTTGTGTATCCCAAAATAGGTATACCTCAATTTTATACGTTTCTGGCAATCTATTTAAGAGTAAATTTAATAATTATGTTTGAGATTTGCCTCCAAGACATGTTTTTACATGAAACAAATTGCTGCACTAATGGCTGTATGTACTTTCAATGAAGCTCTTTAAGGACGTTATAATTTTGGTTGTTTTTTTTTTAATTCGAAGAAATAGAGGACTAACTCGAAATACGTCCAGAACCGTTGGAAATGTGACTAAAATGTATGTAAATTTTTTGTGCAATTTTAAATAATAAATCTTCAAAACCCCTTTAAGAGAGTTTAGTGACCTTGTGTTCATTTTGAACTCACATAGAAGATTAATAATTTACCTTGCAAATGTTATAACAAGACACTGATATGGCTGTGAACCCTAAAAGAAAGAAATACCAAGTTGATGTGCTGTTTTAATTCATGCGGAAGTCAAAAGTTTAAAAAAAGAATTCCCGTTCAATCTCAACGAGCAATCTTATTGATCAGTAAATGTCAGTGATTATGCCATTTTTGAGAATTGGTTGTTCGAGTCAACAAGTAAACCAGTATATAGAAAATGTCATATCAGTTAAGACTTTCTTCTCTCAACACAATCACGTATAAAAAGACAGGAAATTTTCAACGTATTGGCGTCTCATGTGCAAAATTATTAACATTCAAAAATGTAATATGAAATGTAGTATACTGCAAGGTGAGAATTTCTCAAAAGCCAACTGGCAGAGCATTGCAAAAGATTTTGACTAGCGCTTGATATGGATACCCCCACATATAAACACTACAACATATTTGTTGGAGCTGTCATTGCATCTTACGACACTGTATGGAGGGAAGGATTGCTCTTTAAGTTCCTAAGTCTAATCTCTTGTAAAACACTGCTGTATAACATGCTCAGTGACAAGTCCTTCCAGGTCATTTGGGATAAACGCAGAGCCACACAAAGATATTAAATAACGGACTAACCCAGAGAGTCTTTGCGCCAACTCGTAAAATTTCGCTGATTTGGCCCTGACTGTGAGCCGTAACACCACAAGAGGCCACACGTCAGCTGGACATTCCAATTCCAAAGTACATGGGACTTCACACCTGAAAAAACAACAGCTAAAGAAAGCACAAGAAACAATGTCGTTCAGAAACTAGAACTTGCTTACAGTGCTGCCGAGTACAGCGTGTTAATTAATTATCGTACCCGACAAAGTATGCAACCAATATCACAGATTGGTATTACAACGCGACAAAAGTTCCTAAAAACTAAAAAAAGGTCTAACTTTCTGTCCTTTTATTTAAAATAATTTTGAGTGTACCCATAGATTGAATTTAATGTTGAAAGTAGTGGTTATTTTGATTTGTTTATTGACTTAAAGCTTAAAGCAACCGCTAGAAACAACAATAGTTCTAAAAAGCACTGTTTCGAAAAATATAAAGGCAGCAAAAAACGGTTAAAGAACAAAGAAAATACGGAAACTCATATAGCGTACGACAATCACAACAATAACGTTCCATCAGCTGTCAACATCTGGTTGCTAATTTAAAATTATTCAAGGTACCACTACATATTGAGATATGCAGCCAATATTACATAGGTCACGTGGGTTACGATAATTAATTAACACAGTGTACTACTTAGATGCCCAACTAAACTCCATATCCTCTATATAAAAACTATTCCCTACACAATGAGAACTTTAATATAGACCGGAGCTGTAGATTGACCTGAACATATTTAGCAAGCCAGTTGGTTTTAACTTATCCCGCCACATCTGAAGACCCGCTAACAGGATTTGAACAAGGCACGACTTATGCAAAGACTGCATTAATGGAACATAGTCCCATATGTGACTGAGACAGGGAAAATCAAACCACTTTGACAGGACCATAACTGCGAAATATTGATATGCATAATTTATATATATTCATTTTTTATATAATTTATATACTATAGTGCGCTTACAATATTTTGTATATACCCCGACATGAAATTAGTTTTTTAATCATTTTTATATCATCATTTGATTGATGAAATCAATAAATTAAGTTATTATTAACAAGAAAGTTCACATTTCAATTTGGATGTTACTATTGATTTTTCCGCATCAATTTTTAAGCCAAAACCCAATCAAAACCAAATTAACTCGGATTCGTTAAAAACCCATCCAAATTGAAATGAGTTTTTTCGAAATCACCAACAGTTCCGACTTAATCAGATCCCCCCCAAAATTAAAAATGTATAATACACTACAAATTTAATCATAATCAAAAACTTTGTTTATCTAGCTCCATTTCGATTCCCGCATAATGTCACCATTGAATTAAAGTTTAATTTTAGCCGGGTTGCTTGCCTGTGAGGTTCGTTTCATCAAGGTTGTCCGGTTCAGTGCCAAACCATTCATTTAAGCTAGTTCTCGATGATAACCACATAAAACGCCAAACGTATTATTACGATAAGGTACAATTTAATGGGATAGATTTTTTTTCTTCGTTTTTGTTTTCGTGATGTGTTTGATGTGGTATTCAAGGTCAATTGGGTCGATTTGTATCAATCACTTCATTAAAAAATTAACAAACCCAAGTTGTTCTTGTTACAACTTTTTTTTTCGTTACTTAAAACATATTTTAGAAAGATAAGAACGTTATGCATAAATTCCTTCGATGCAAATTTTAAAAATTTATTTTTTAACGAAAATATTTTAGTTTCGGAGTTTTTCCATAATTATCAATCACGTTAATCTAATATAAACACAAACAACATAGGTGCTAAAAACTAAATATCTATGTTGATATCATAGATTATATAATCATATTTCTTATCATAGTTAAATAAAACATAAATGAATCAATTAAGAGCTTTTATACACCTATCCTCCGATTTACACGATTTTACTTAGCAAAATCCAAGATTTCAATTCACACGGTTTTGTGCAGAACCTATCTTCCGTGTAAATCAGTGTACTTTCAATGTTAAAAACTTTTAGATCTACATTCTTAGATATTGAGTGATTCTCAATTTGTAAGAAGTAAATATCAACAATATACAGTTGTCATATAAAATTGCAAGCGCCGCACCACGTTATTGATCGTCGTGCCGCAATAATTACAGGTGTGTTTATGGTTCCTTCAATGAAAACTAGGCCACCAAACGATTTTAATTCACTTTTTCAAAACAAATCTTAAAACACAACTTACCCATCATCACTAATCACTATAATAATTTTTGTAACCGAAAAAAAATAAATAATTTGAAACAAAAATAAAAATTAACAATTAAAATACCGCTTTTCTTTTAATAAGAATAAATTTTGTTCAACCCCTTCACTTAATACATGATACACATGATTCCCAGAAACGATCACGCCACACACAACATATTGATTATTTTAATTTTTTTATAATCAAACCATAAAATAACTAAAATTTGTTGTTTAAACTTAATTAATAATTTAAAATTAACTTAAATTAGATGCATTTTACAATAAAATCTACTCACGGAATTCAATAGATTTTTGGTCGTTTTCACGGAATCGGGATCTTTGAGTGATTGCTGCGGGATCTTTTCATATTTAACGTTATTCCCGTTACCCTTCATAATTAGTTATTATCGTTTAAACACGCCGGTCGCACTCGTTACCATTATCACCTTACGGCGATTTCCGACCGACTGACAATTTTTTGACGTTTATAAACGCCAAACAATAACGCGGTCACGTCCCCATCTATCGGAACGCAGGTGAAGTTTTATTAAACACAAATTGCCAACATCAAAAAAATACATCAAAAAATTTTAATTAATCTCATTTAAATTAAATTGTATCGTTAAATGATAATTAATCGAGATTAAAATCTTAAAATGAAGATTAAAAAATTATTATAAAAAAACACTGTGTAAACAAAAAAGTGGGGATTATCATTGAACGAAATCTAACCACAACACACACTTTTTGCTTACGTGTTGCCATGGTAATTAAAATAATAAATATTAATAACTAGGATAATAAATCTTTATTTACCTTATCTCCCAATTTTTAATGTTCAACCTGCAACAACCACTTTTCGCGAAACATTTCTTTGTGTGTTAAAAACACAAGTACTTTTAAGTAATTCACACTTTACAAGTTTACATCAGATTGATTACGGAAATATAAAAGGTATACGTTCCAAGAAATTGTAGATAATAATTACCATGCACATAACACAACATCATTATCACAAAAACACCAAATTTAAAAAAAAAGAACTGTCATAAAACTTCCGAGTACATTTCTTTCTAAGATAAATCTAGGGGAAATATGCTTTATTAAAATATTTTTGTAGTGGTACTTGTGATCCAACTTCAATTTGTACAATAAAAATGACCTTGTTCGTGATTGGTTGAATTAGACGATGTTTTTAAAGCTTTTTAAACTTATAGGTTAGGTTACTCAATTTAATTCAATGCAATCGAAAAACGTAATATATTGGATTTAGAATCTTTACAAGCGGCTCCATCATTATGGCAAAAATCCATTAAATATATTGTTGATAAAATTGTTAATCCAGCTGGTATGAGGAATGTTTTAAAAATTATGTCAAACTAAGAATGCTTTATTTGTAGGGGTTACAATCATAATAAATAATAAAAAAATATAAGGATATTAGAAAGAATTGGCAAACTGTGGTATTTGTTGTATTTATGTTGCGTTATTAGATGTTTTATCACAGATATATTTAAATCTGTCACAAGGTTTTATCAATCAAAATTGATATTATACACTGATAATCTATATAATTTTTTACTTACAGTGTTGGGCCAAAGATGAAGCTGGAGATTAATAATATGAGAAATAAGAGAATAAACAATAATATATCAGTTTTGTTAGGATCTGGAAATTATTTGGACGATATGTAAGTAAAGTGATTATTAGTTATTGATTGGAATTGTTTAAAATTGATTGTTATAAATGATTTTGTCTTTTAGGACTTCTTTTATGAAAGATTTAAAAAATGGTAGATGTGTTATCAGTTCACTCTGAGGATAAGAATCAAATTGATGTGGATAAATGTGTAATTACACAGAGAAAAGAGCCACAATATGAATTTGTTGATTACTTGGTTAAGTATTCTATGCTTTTAGAGGTAAATAAGAAATTTGAGGTTGAAATTTTAAAATACTAAGCTAAAATAATGTCTTCAAATTTCATTAATATGTTATAAAAGCCAATGTTTCACAAAAAAATTCTAATATATTTGTATACATAAATTAAATCAAGATGCTTTAGAAAATATCTACTCTCAACTTTGTAGTAAAGGTGGTTCAGATGATCATTAGTGTCAAAATAGAATTACTCACATAATAGATTACAGTAAGACGATAAGTTTTAAGCTTTTACAGTTATATTAATCAAAATCTCAGCAGTGCAGAATTTATCTGGCCAAAAATTTAGTAATAACAGACAAATAACATCATAAAACTCTTTCTCTGTATTTCCTCACCTCTTGATTGTTCTAGATTGCAATTTGATTTAGATAATCTTCATGCTTTTTGCTTAAATAATCGCCTTTCATTAAACTTATCAAAGTGTAATATTATTTCCTTCTCTAGGAGGGTAAACACAATCCGTTACAATGCAATTTCAATTACAAAGAAGTTGTAACATGTCTCATTTATTAGAGATTTGGGTGTTACATTTGATTGCAAATTATTATTTGATAAACATATTGATATTGTTATTTCCAAAGCCTGGCGTATGTTATTATTTATTGTGAGATCCATGGTAGCTTTTTTTAACATTGATGCAATTAAAAATCTCTTTTTTGCCTATATCTATAGCAAACTTAACTTTTGCAGCGTTTGTTGGAATCCTCAGTAACACTCGTATAACTCTAGAATTGAGCATATTCAATCTAAATTCCTCAAGTACATTTGTTTTAAATTTTTCGTTCAATATATTGATTACGAATCAACTTGCACTTCTTTTTGTATGTTAATTCTCAGTCAACGTCGGTTTTGTGGGGATGTGTTATATTTTTGTAATCTTTTGAACAACAAATGTGTTCAAAGTCTCCATCATGTTGATTTATGTTCTGAATCCTAAATTGATAACTCAAAAATCGAGTGTTCTCTGATTCTTCTCTGCTCTCTGATTTTTTGAATAAATGTCTGCTGGAGCAGATTTTTCTAGAAAAATTCGAATAACTCGAGAACGGCCGAATCAAATTGCAAAAAGTAAAGTTATTCATAAACTTATTAATTATTTTTTATATTTATTTTTAAATTTTTAATAGAAAGTAATTGCCAAAGGTTTACTTTAAACTGTTTTGTTGATAGTAGGCAACCCATTTTACACCTTTTCGTAATGACGAAAAATTGTGACAAAATCACATACCTTCAGAAAAAACACATTCATTAAATAATAACACATCTATTGCACTTTTACTAATACGGAATCTCTTCCTAAGATACATAACCATTAAATGACATATTTGTCACCTCATTTAAGTCCCTAATCTCTTCTAGAGAACGATTTGTATTAAGCCCTTATTATGGCTAACTTTCGTAATTTATTACTGTTAGAGTCATGATTATTTTAGAATACTAAATATATCATTCTGTAGAGTAATATGTGTACTTCAAGCCTATGTATTTACTTTACATTGAGACTTTTACACAAGATTATTACATTGATATAGCTAAGGTTTCCTTGAAAAATCTTCCTCTGTTAATCATATACCTTGAAAATTTTGAATCGGAACGTGATGAATAGGCTTTCCGAGTTTTATAATATCAAAAATATATAGTTTGATACGTAACTATCACGTATGTTTTTATAGTTGTTAGAATTAGGGTAGCGCTGGTTAAAACATTTCTTGATGGTTTTTAAATGATTTATTTAGTATTGTTATAAACGATGATTTATTTAATAAAAGTAATACGATTGCGATTTAAACGAAATATTATTTTTACGAAGTACTATTCAAAACGAGGCATCTTTTATAACATTTTTTAAAACTAAAAAACTTGTATTTTTAATACACAAATATAGCCAAAAAATAAAATTACGTAGGCAACCCTACTTGCATTTAATTTAAAATAAAAATAATTCTTAACAATAGTAATATGTATTTCGTTTAAATCATATCTAAAAAATTAAGGTATTAGAATTTTAACATCAAATGTGGCTCCAATTAACGTTCCGACTGGTTGGGAATTCCTCAGATGCAATTACCTATGGCAATTAAACCTGTCAAATAATGCCGCCACATTTGAATATCACTGCATCATATGACATGTGAGATTGCATCTGACGAGCTTCCAACAACTTATAACGTTAGCTGAAACAAAGCTATAATGTCAATTATAATCTAATTATTTAATCATACCATTAATACTTTATTATACTCTTACCGAAATATCACTTTAAAATGACGTTTTCATCTGTCATTCTGAACAAACTTCAAGTTTTGTTGAAATTAGCGGCAAATTTAAAAATATAACACGAAATGAAGATAAAAGAATGATACTGGTAATAATTGTTATTGCTGTTTCTCATCATTCCCACTATTAATAATAAAATTGTTAGTTTAATTAAATTATTTCAGTATAGACGATAATGCCATCTTACGGTGGCTGGATAATACCAACATAAACCAACCTAAAAATTGTTAAAAATGTCACCTTTGAGTGTGAGGTAATTCGTACGAACTTCAAGATGTAGTATGAAATGTCAAGTGAATGTGGCGCAAAATCGTTGTAGCCGTTTCCAGTTTAAACAAAAACAACCAACTAAAATCAAAATTAGTGTTGTAGAACGGAATCGTCAACATTTCCAAAATAAAGAAGAATCTCATCATCCGAATATCAAACTACATATTATTCTTAAAACATGGAACCGATCAAAGTGTATCCCACCGTTGAAGAATTAAACAAAACGGGGATTACCGCTATTCATTGTCCGGAACAAGGTTGTGTAAGCGTCTTTAAATCCGATTCGAATTTGAATTTACACCTGGCCAAAACCCACAAGAAAGCGGATGTTTTAAAACGCGAATCAGTACAGCGTGAGTATCACTGTCCCGAAATGAAATGTGTCTATCACAAAACCAAGTACTTCAAGTCGTTTAAGTTACTCAAACAGCATTATTTAAAAGTGCATACAGAGAAAATGTTTGAATGTTGCAGTTGTAATATGAAATTTCCAACTGTTACCGCTAGAAATTTCCACTTGAATTATTGCGGAGTAAGTTTTAGCTGTTGTAATTGTAACGCATCATATCCTTCTTACGAATCACTTATGACCCATGGTAGACGTAAAAATCACATAATATTAGAAAAATCTGCTTATAAATGTATTGATCCCATACAAAAATCATCAAGTACCACTTTATTAAATGATGATAAAAACACTATCTCTCTGGTGAAATCGAGTAGTTTACACGATATGAATTCAATTTCGAAAAATACAATTACAATTGAACGGAGTAGTCAAACCGATATTTATTCAAAGACTCGTCAGTTTAAATCGCGTCAAGTTAATCAACAAGAAACGCAAACGCACAATAATAAATGTTTACTTACCGCTGAAACCCAAACGATCGGCGATTACAATCGAAATGTAAAATTAGAACCAACCTCCAGCAATGAAGACTTTTTCGAACGCAAAGATAGTAAAACTCAAACTCATCCCGTCGATTCTACAACAAAATCGTGTAACACCTCGTTTAATTTGGATGATTTTAGTTTTTCTTATGAACAAAGTAATTCTGGTACCCAAACTACAGCTGTAATGCCATCGGATTGCGATCTTTTCCTCATGCAAACTGAACCGTTTGCCGCCCAAATTGGAAGCGAATTTATGCACTCTAGTTCACAAACGAGTTTTCATGAAGATTCGTTTGACTCTGAGAATTATTTCAATTGCAGCGCTGAAACCCAAACCGATTTTATGTTGATTTTAGATCAAGATTATAGCAACATGTGTACGCAAACGGGCGATGAAGTTTTTAACGTTTTCAACGAATTTAACAGTTCGCATACCCAAACGGTTTTTGAGGACGTTTTGAGATCCGTCGAGAGTCAAACGATGATGTCTACGCACAATAATAAACACGTTTTGTCTTGCCGCGATATGGCGCACATGGAAACTCAAACTGACGAGTTCAAACAAATGTTGGAAGAGATCAATGCCTGACTGTAATGTTATATTTTTAGTTTTTTTTCTTTTTCGTCCTTTTATTTATATTGGTGAGGATACAAATTTGGAGTAAAAAATTTATTGATAAAACTTGAATTGTAATAAATAAAGTTTCAAACCTGGTCTATATTAATATACAATTTCTTATTATTATTAATATTGTTGTAATCAAGAAGAAATAAAATAAAACTATTGCACAATCGTTTATACCTTAACATTTCATCTTTAAGCATAATTTAAAATTGTTTTTAGGCCCAACAATAAATATCCAATTAAGTAAATAATGATTGGTTACTTTTTGAGAAGGTTGTTAATAATTTGTGAAGTGCTTGAATTTAGAGATTGTAAAAATTGTTATTGTTGAAGGTACTAATAAACCTGCTAATAAAAATTTTGTTTTAATTACTGTTGTAAACAATGTTAAAATCAAAAGCTTATAACACACCTTAAACACAAGAGGTGTAGATTATTCCCTACAGAAAAAAGCTTTTAAAATATTTTACTGATGAAATCTCTTACAAGTTTAAACCTTGTTCTTCAAAGAAGTACTAAAAATATTGAGGGCATTTCAAGCAATAATTGGACTGCGTTATGCATCACTTGACTAAGCGGCAAATGAATAATGTTGAGAAAAACGGGATTTTCGTTTTCATCTCTCCAAAAATATGACTTCTCAGAATAGACAGGCTCAAACTATTGAAAATTGTTTGATGCCTGTCCATTTTTATCAGGATTATACGATTTATATATAGGTATATAAAAATAAAGAGAAAATGCGGAAAAATGACTAAATTAAACTTCTATTATATGATAAGTAATTTCAGGTTTAAAATGTCAACCTCAATCTTGACATAGTTGCAATCTTCATTAAAAATCCTTTAAAATGAGTACAAACACGACATATTTATCTTCAATATTAATGAAGTTATGGTTAACTTACGGTTAAGAATGTCAATTTTGACATATTTGTAATCGCCGTGAAAAATCCTTTAAAATGAGTCCAAACATGATACGTTTAATTCCAATATTACTCGAGATATAAGCAATTTCCGGTTTGAAATGTCAATGTCATTTTGACATATTCTTAATTTTTATAAAATGTCTTAATATTTGTCAAAAAACCAAAAGTAGAATAAAAAAAAAATAAAAAATTAAGGTTGGTATTAATATTTAAAAATTAAATTGCTATCTTCATTGTTGCTAACTCAGGGTTTAATGTTTTTTATTCAAACTTTTTTGTTTTTTGAGATAAATGCATCATGTTTGGACTCATTTTAGGTTTTTTTAATAAACAGTACATCATGAAAGAACACCATGAAGTTGTCCATTGGTCTATTATATGATAACTAACTTCAGGTTTAAAAATGTCAACCTCAATCTTGACATATTTGCAATCTTCATTAAAAATCCTTTAACATGAGTACAAACACGACCTATTTATCTTCAATATTAATGAAGTTATGGTCAACTTACGGTTAAGAATGTCAATTTTGACATATTTGTAATCGCCGTGAAAAATCCTTTAAAATGAGTCTAAACAAGGTACGTTTAATTTCAATATTACTCGAGATATAAGAACTTATGGTTTGAAATGTCAATGTCATTTTGACATATTCTTAATTTTTATGAAATGTCTTAATATTTGTCACAAAAACAAAAATCTAATAATAAAAATAAAAAATTAAGGTTGGTATTAATATTTAAAAATTAAATTGCTATCTTCATTGTTGCTAACTTAGGGTTTAATGTTTTTTATTCAAACTCTTCTGTTTTTTGATATAAATGCATCATGTTTGGACTCATTTTAGGTTTTTTAATAAACAATACATCATGAAAGAACACCATGAAGTTGTCCATTGGTCTATTGTATGGTAACTAACTTCAGGTTGAAATATGTCAACCTCAATCTTGACATATTTGTAATCTTCATTAAAAATCCTTTAACATGAGTACAAACACGACATATTTATCTTCAATATTAATGAAGTTATGGTCAACTTACGGTTAAGAATGTCAACGTCAATTTTGACATATTTGTAATCGCCGTGAAAAATCCTTTAAAATGAGTCCAAACATGATACGTTTAATTCCAATATTACTCGAGATATAAGCAACTTCCGGTTTGAAATGTCAATGTCATTTTGACATATTCTTAATTTTTATAAAATGTCTTAATATTTGTCAAAAAAACCAAAAGTACAATAAAAAAAAATAAAAAATTAAGGTTGGTATTAATATTTAAAAATTAAATTGCTATCTTCATTGTTGCTAACTTAGGGTTTAATGTTTTTTATTCAAACTTTTTTGTTTTTTGAGATAAGTGTGTCATGTTTGGGCTCATTTTAAAGGGTTTTTAATACATCATGAAAAAATACCATGAAGTTGTCCATTGGTATATTATATGATAACTAATTTCAGGTTTAAAAATGTCAACCCATGAAATTTAATAAGGTTTTAATGTGATGGTGATGAAGAACATTTTTTTAAATCATTAGGCTTTTCTGAATACAAGCATTTTGATAATCAAGGTGATTATATTAATGAAAATCTAGAAAAATCGTATCTCAAGAACCAATTGAGATATCGCAATGAAATAAGAACCGCTTTAAAGCAAATTTCATTATTATTAAATTTATTGAAGCTCATTTCTTTAAATTCAAAAATGTTGGAGTTATGATTTTTTAAATTCAACCCTGCAAAACCAAAATCATGCAATTTTAAACCCCACCATCTTTAAAAAATCATATTTCAAAAACGAATCGAGATATTAAGATGAAATAATTAGCAATTTAAATGATATTTAATAAGATTTTAATGTGATGAAGTTTTAATATTAACAATTTTTTTTCTGTTAGTATCTGACCCAATATCTTAGGAAAGAACGATATACAATTGATCAGATCACATTTTTCCACACCTGCTTATATTACTTTGATTTCAAGTTTTGCAATATGTAACTTATACCATAGATATCTTCTACTTTCTTAGGTTAGCCGAAATGAAATTGTAACTAAACACAATACAAAAATTAATAAAAATTTATTAATAAAACCATAGGAATATAAATGATTACCAATCTCTGTTTTTTACACATATAAATATTACAATATTAGGCAAAACATAATCTCAAAAACTTTTTTTATCACTTTTACCCATTATAAAAAGAAAACAAGCATTGTAAGTAGTCAAAAATTCATGCGTCAAAACCACTTCGTATAAAAAACCATCTCTACAAATATAAAAAACCGAAATGACTTAATATTGGTACATTAATTTTTGAATTATACAGTGACTGAATAACAAGCGTTTTAACTTCTTTTTTTTATATTATACAACCACTTTGCGTTAGTTTTACAGAAACCAAAAAAAAAAGGTGATGGAACATAGTGTACTGATTATATGTGCTATAAATAAAATTGGGTCTTATTTATTAAATTATAAATACAATCACATCTGTACAACCTATCCTATTAAAAAAAAATTAAGGTAAACTTAAAACGCTACCGAAATATATGTACAGTAACGCTGAAGCAATATCAATCATTAATTGGATTCTTTTTTGGTTAAATCCATACATTTAATTACAAATTCCAGCATGAATAATTTATAAAGCTGGACCTGCCGAATCAGAATCCCTATCGTAATCCTGCAATGGGTCTGATGTTTCTTCAATACGGCACATATTTTCTAATGTTGATGCAATCATTCGTAGATTGTCCACTCCAGATAATAATTGCCTATAAAAATTTAAACGTAATATTTTAGATAAGATAAATTTGTAATTACCTTAAGTTTTGTTCAGCACTATTTGCAGCTACCCTTAAATCACGTGCAACATTCACTTGCGGACGGCTTTGATGTGTACTTGATGATGAAGTTCCAGCTGCACCTTCATCACACCTCAACAAAGAATTTTCCCTTTTTAACCTAGTAATCTCAGCCTAAAAAAATATTTTAAAATTATTTTAATTGAAATATTCTTTTGTAGTTACATAAAGTCCTTTCATTTCCTTCCGTAATTGTACCACCATATTTTCTGATGAAACCATGCGTTTCTGTAATAAAAAAAAATTGTTTTATTTTAATTAATTTGAAACCTGAGTTGAGCTACTTGCAGTAAAAATGTACTGAAAGTAAAGTATTCAGAACTTTTTTGCTTTAAATAGTTTACTGCCAGTACTTTCAAATTGTAGGTACTTAATACTTGTACTTTCAGTATTTAGCTCAAAATGTACTGGATACTATTTGTTTACTTCGAGTAGTTTATCTACTTCCAGTACTTTCAATAGTAAGTAAAACAACAATTTTTTAAAGTTTTCTCATACCCAGACTTGAGGTACTTGCAGTAAAATGTACTGCAAGTAAAGTACAGTAAAACCTCGATATAACGGACCAATACGGGGAAGAGGGTGTCCGTTATAGCCGAAAGTCCGTTATATAGAAAAACAGTCCCGAACACGTTTTTTCTGTTATAAGCAAATATAATACTTTAATACTTATCACAATTGAGGGTTATTCCAAGACCAGGAAGAGGTATATAATGTCAATTGTTTGCTATCAAATATAAAATGAATGAACATGTCTTATGTATTTTTTTATTTATATACCTATACATATTAGTTAAACGAAAAACTCTACTTCTGATACGTGTATACTCTGGTTATAAAATGATATTATGTACTGGATGTCGAAGCGCTTGTGGTTGGCAATGCTTTTTTAAAAAAACAATCAAGTTTTGTTTTGCACTTCAGAAGTTTGTTGTTATTTTATGATTATCTCCCTAAAATTACGGAAATGTGCATAGTACAATTGCATTTTTTTATTTGATGAATCATCTATAAATGTTATTAAATCGTCGAGATGCGATCTGATCGTTGACAATTTTATCTTTGGGAATCTTTCATTTTCCTCGCTTTCAAGCTCGTTATCCACCAACATCACTTTATCAGCTATTTCATGTTCCGTCATAATATGACAACCAGGATCACCTTCATCCATTTCTAGCCATTGTAATATATCTTCTTTGGCTACTTCTCCTCCAACGCTATTTTGTATGGCAGTACAAAAATCGGGAACCTCTAATCCTTCCAAATCAATGTCTTCATGTTGGTCGTCAAATAGATTCGTCTTAAAAATTGTGGATTTTGAATTATACTTTTTTAAATTTTCCAACGTGCGTTGTCCTCTTGTGTCTTTTTCGCTTTCTTCGTTCTCCAACACAACCATTACCTCGTCTAAAAATGTTCGTCTATATATTCGCTTGGTGGCTAAAATTATTCCCTGGTACATGGGCTGAATTATCGATGTTGCATTTTTGGGCAAAAACATACAATTAAATTTACCTTCGTCGGATTGTAAAATATTTTCAGATGGATGAGCAGGTGCGTTGTCTAAAAGCAATAAACATTTTATATCATCTGGTGGTATTTCAAGCTTCTCTTCTTGAAATTTCCTGACTGCAGGTATAAAATCTTTAAAAAACCAATCGTTGAATATATTTGCTGTGAACCACGCCTTTTGTGAATTATAATACGAAACGGGAAGAGTTATGTCATTATGTCTTTTAAAACTCTGGGTTTACGAGATTTTCCAACTATAACAGGTGTCAGTCTATGAGATCCATCAGTGTTAGCACAAAGCAGTGCTGATATTCTTTCCTTTCCGGTTTTTCTACCGGTTGTCAATGTTTCATATCTAAAAGCTTGGATATTTTCAGACAAAGCACGCCATACATAACAGACCAGTTTCATCAGCATTATAAATCTGGGATTGCAATAACATTTCGAGATTTATTCGTTCTATTAATTTTTGTCGGAAAGGTTCATTCTTTTGGGGCATTAATAGCTTCGCCGTAAATTTGCTTATTAAAAATTAAATATCTTTTGCGAAAACGCCAGAGCTATCCATCACTTGCTTTGAATGAAATTATGTTCATATGATTAGTTAATTTAATTGCAGCAGATTTAATTTCAACTGCTTGCACTGGAACCCCACAAGAACGATGTTGTACATACCACTTCAATAACGCTTCTTCAAGTGAAGTTTCACGTGCCAATTTCATTCGTTTTCTGGGATTCATTTTCGCATCTACATCACACATTAAACTAAATTTGTTTAGTTTGTCTTTGTTCTTTTTAATGTCCGAAACACTTTTTAACACTTTTTACTTTAAACTGCTTGAATGAAAATATTTAACGCATATATTAATTCGGACAGCTATTCATGACCGATGCGTTCGAATACACAACTCTGGGAATACCCGGAGTTTTATCCTTAATACAGAACATCGCATAGAGAAACTTGGATTATACTCCGAATATCGGGTTCGATCGATGATTGACGTTCATCGGTTTATATATAAAATATGTACTGTTATCTATTAAACATATTATATTAATAATATTACTTCAAAATATTTTAAATTTTTATACTTAGCGGAAATAAATTTTATTTTATTTCAAATTAAAAAAATTTACATTGTTAAAAATATTTTGTCCATAATATCCGAAGTCCATTATAACGAGGTCCGTTGTATCGAGGTTTTACTGTATTCAGTACTTTTTTACTTTAAATAGTTTACTGCCAGTACTTTCAAATTGTAGGTACTTAATACTTGTACTTTCAGTACTTAGCTTGAAATATACTGGATACTTGTTTGACATAAGAAATACTTGAAGAACTATTTGTTTATTCCAAGGAGTTTATTTACTTCCAGTACTTTCAATAGTAAGTAAAATAACAATCTTTTAAAGTTTTCTTATATCCAGAGTTGAGCTACTTGCAGTAAAATAGTACTGCAAGTAAAGTATTCAGTACTTTTTTACTTTAAGTAGTTTACTGCTAATACTTTCAAATTGTAGGTACTTAATACTTGTACTTTCAGTATTTAGCTAAAAATATACTGGATACTTGTTACTTGTTTGACATAAGAACTACTTTAAAAACTATTAGTTTTCTCCATGTCGTTTATCTACTTCCAGTACTTACAATAGTAAGTAGAATAACAATTTTTTAAAGTTTTCTTATACCCAGAGTTGAGCTACTTGCAGTAAAAATGTACTGCAAGTAAACTATTCAGTACTTTTTTACTTTAAGTAGTTTACTGCCAGTACTTTCAAATTGTAGGTACTTAATACTTGTACTTTTAGTATTTAGCTTAAAATATACTGGATACTTGTTACTTGTTTGACATAAGAAGTACTTGAAGAACTGTTTGTTTACTCCAAGTAGTTTATCTACTTCCAGTACTTTCATAGTAAGTAAAATAACAATTTTTAATAATTTTCTTATACCCAGAGTTCAGCTACTTGCAGTAAAAATGTACTATTTATTATGTATACTATTTATTATGTACTTATATGTATTACTATTATTATGCACTATTTACAGTAAAGCGCTGAAATTTGATACAGTATAAATCAATGTCATGTAAAATCTGTGAAGCAATTTATAAGTTGGATCGGTCCGCGGGAACAATGCTATACAGGCTGTTCCTAAAATTTGTTTGCCCAGAACTTTTTTATTCTGTCATAACCCTACATTTATTTTTGTAGTTTCTAATAGTAAATTTGGTTTAGAAACTTTTATTACTCTTAGATAATATTGATAAATATCACCATTTTTGTGTTAAATGCAAAAATGTTGGGTTCCAATTTCAATAATAGCACTAAAAAAAAAGTTTTTGAACATTTCCTTTAGTATTTTTTATTACTTATCTTGTTATTTTATGTACTTTTTTTATTATTCCTGTTAGTGTTGTCGTTTTTTTGTTTACTTTCTGTTGATTTTTAATGTATTGTTTTTGGATTCTTTTATTAAACCAACTAAAAGAAATTAAAAATGTGATTTAGCTAAATCTACACTTGGACATGTTGCATACATAATACTTAGGACAGCTGAGTTCGATTTTCACTTGTCATTACCAATTCAGATTATTTATTTATTAATTTTAAAAGTTTCTAAACTAAATTTACTATTATAAAGTGCAAAAATAAATGTAGGGTTATGATAGAATAAAAAAGTTCTGAGCGAACAAACTTTAGGAACAGCCTGTATAGCATTATTCCCAAGTACCGATCCAACTCAAAAATTCCCTAATGATTTTACGTGATATTAGTTTACACTGTACCAAATTTCGACGCTTTACCATAAAATAGTGTTTAAGATATTTAGAAAAACGTGATAGAATTTCCTAACTTTGATGGCCTGTATCTTTGCAATTTGAGGACTTTTACTAATTCCTTTTTACATGAATTGTCATCATTTTCACCCTAGTATATGTGGTTACATTTGTTCCCTGAGACCGAAACACCCTGTATTTATATATACCATATTTGTTCCCATATATTAATACCATAAAATATTAAAATTCGGATAAAGAATTATACAGGGTTTCCCAAAAGTAACGGATAAATTCGTTATAACATCTAATAACAATTTATAAAAAAATCGCTGAGACGGGTCTAAAGATTTAAATTTTTAGCAATTGTTTGGTATAGATTTTAAATTTTTTCCGCCATTTTTAAACGAGTATTGACGTTATCGATATTCAAAATATACAAGAAGAACATATGCATCCCATTTAAAATAATAATGTTGGTTGCCATAACAACGAAACAAAAAACAATGTAAACATGCAAATATAGCCAAAAAATGCGCCACAATTAATACAAAATTTTCTATTTGAAACATTTTTCTTTAAACCCACAAATTGCGAAGTTATTGGCTGTATTCCAGACATTTGACACACCCTGTATGTTTTTTCATTGTTATTGTGTAATTTAAAACCGCTGGCGCAAGAATTACTGACTGAAACTTCGAAAACCTTTAATTTTCAAATTTTCAAGAGTAAGAGTCTCCTTTATAGAGTTGTTCTAGTGAAAATAATAGCAGTTCAAGATTGCTTTAGGTATAATAAGTATATATTTGTAATATGGAATTGAAAATAGAAAAGCTATGGTCACAGCCAAGGACAGCAGTTATATCCTAGACGTATTCATATTATTTTTAAAGTTTTATGTTTTTAGACGTATTAATGTCTATCATATAACCTCTAAAAACACAGACAGATACCAAGCGTGGCAAATAGTGTGACATAGCGTGCGGACAACCAACATAGTGGACTACAATGGCTACTAATAGTGTGACTACAAAAATACAATGGATGTAGCACTCCTGTTAGATTCTACTGTCCTTGGATCACAGCAATCAATTAGACATTTTGGCAGTCAAACCCAACAATTGTTAGTTATAACTTCGTAATGCTGTATCCCATAATTTTTATTTTCTAGAACAATAATTAGAACAACTAGAACAACCCAGAACAACAAAGAAAATCTGATTTTTCCAAAAATGGGGGACTAGTCAAAAAAACCCGTTTTTTCGGTTTTTCTCGCCGAGTTTTCATTTTTCCTATTTGCCGCTTTGGAACAATGTAGAACAACTGTAGAACAATCTAGCTAGAACAACAATGAAAAATTTAAAAATCAAAAAATGGGGGGCTAACTACCCGCACTCATTCCCATCCCATCTCTTTACTATTTTAAAATTTAAATTATGCAAAATAATTCGCAATTTGTATTTTTGATGTTTCAATAAGTTTTGATAGTTGCGGTCAGAGAAACGTGTTTAATCTTGTAAGGTTATTAGTCGGTTAGTCGGTATATATAGTCGGTTATTTCAAGTTTGTGCAGCTCATAGTACTAAGTGCAGGTGAATAACACTGTTCTACCGCGTGTGGTTACTCAATACAGGAGAATTATTTAAAAGGTAAGATTTAAAATACCATATATAATATATGTACATTTAAGGGTTGTAATTACTTTGTACTGGGTACTTGAAATTTCAGTTTTAAGTAAAATTACTTATTAATCCAAGTACTTTTTAAAAATACTTGTTACTTATTACTTGGACTAAAAATAATTTATAGCGCTACTTGTACTGGTTACTGGGAGTACTATTCCTTTGTACTTGTTAACAGCTTTGTTTGAAACTTACAGTGTTCATATCTAAATTTTGTTCAACTTGTTCTAAAGCCTTCCCTAAACTTTGAGTATAATCTTTTTCTTTATTCCTGGCAATATCCAACTGTCGTTGTAAATGTTCAGTCCTCCTTCGTTCATCCGCCAATTGCCTCCTAGCAATTTCAAGCTCTTGTCTACATCTATCCACCTCTCTCTCCGGGCTTTGTACACTTATAGTATCATCATTTTGAGTCCTAACTGCTCCATCAGCCAAAAAATCCGGCAAACTCTTCGAAACGGCTACCTCCCCAGCCGGGGCACAACTCCTCGATTGATTTTGATTATCATTAACAGGCAAGTCAAGTGGAAACTCAGTCGGAGGCCTAACGGGTAAATCTAACGGTACGGGGTGATTACGTCTCTCCTTACGACTAGAATCTAAATTGAGCGGTCGCGATGGTGCAAAATCGGGAAGTCCCATATCAGTGTAACTCCGTGTCGGTCCATTTTTGTTTAAATAACACTGTTCCACAACCAAATGATCTTGCACAAAATCAGGCAAAGCAGAAGAAAACTCCGGTGGGACCCTCGTTTTATTATTATCAACAGGGGAATTATGAATTTCTAAATCTGGCATAGAAGTCACCGGCCTACCGTCGCAATAAACTTTAGGTCGTGCACCTTGGTTGTGATATGCAGAGTTTCCGCTACGAAGGAAATGTTTAAACGAAAACGGGTTGTCTTCTTTTTTTGGCGGATCTGTTGTTGGACCTATTTTAATTGGAAAAAAAATTAATGGCTTTAAGAACTTTGAATGACAGGTGTTTTTAATTATCTCAAAACTATTTTAATACCACTTTAAAATAAGAAAATTATATTTATATACGTACTTTGTGATCCTATATCGTTAAAAATTGTACTGTGCGTCCGAGATTCTATGTTTCTAGCGGGTTCATTAGTGGCCCCCGCATCTAACCTCACCGGATTATCGTCGCAATCTTCATCGGGACCGCGTGAAACCGTCGGTTTTCCATCCGGCGATCCATCATCGCCTTCAGCCATAATATAATTAAAAAAAAAACTTATTTATGAATTATCCGGATTGGGACTGTTTGTTTTTTTCTTCAACTGGTTATTAAATGTCAAAATTGTTTCAAACGTCCGAAGTTGTTACAAACACTCGGATTGCTCGCGCGTGATTGGTCGATAGGGAAGGCCACCATATTTGAATGTTAGTGACTTTTTTCTTTTGGTTTTATTTTAAGAAATTTGACGTAAGAATTATTGTTTTAATGTCAAGGTGATTTTATTGAATAAATTTCTATTAAATGCGTCATTTTATATATTGATATTGATTGATATGCGTATTATTTATTAAGAAGAAACTGATTAAAAATTATACTTGAAAAGTTTGTTTTTGAAATAGAATCTTTTATAAGTACGATTACCAACAGGTCTCTTTTTAAAAACAATTTTTTTTTAGCTTAAAAAGTTTAATGAACGATTTGATTTCGTTTTATTCGTTACTTCAATATTTATGTGTACTTTAAATAGTTTTGAAATAAATTTATTGCCGTTTTAATGAATACTTATTAAATAGTTAACAAATAAGCGCCATCTGTAATTAATACTTTTAAACCTGTCAAATTTCTTGAAATTTTTAGGTTATGTTAGTTATTTAAGGAATGGATTTGATTTTTTCGTGATAACTTTCCACTTTTGGTTGTTGGAGCTTTATATATTCACTTTTTAGGTCGAAAGTAACCTTTAGTACATAGGATCTAACCTCTATAAGAAAGTCTTAATGGGGTACTTACAACTTAGCAATTTGAAAATTTGGCGAAAGCACAAGATAATACGCCTATAGTTGCTCGCCTGCATAAAATTTAACCATAACCACAGAGTATATTTACTCTGTGACCATAACACTGATCTATGCTACCTATGCAAACAAAACGGCAAATATTCTGAGGATGCTAAGGAATCACTGGAGCTCTTATTGAGCGCAAGTTTGCTCTAATGTGGATGCCAACCCTGAAGTAATGGAAATAACCCGTCCATCTGGAAGGGCTCGCAACATAGCTGAGTAAATTTTTACACCCAACAGAGTAAGGTGGGCTATTTCTAATGTTAAGCCCCCAAAATCACTGGGAGGGGGTGGAATTCTCCCTATTTCAGCTATATACTTACATTATGGAAAGTAAAGGTGGTCTTTATACCTATACGTGGTAGGCGTTCAAACGCCGATCCCAAGGTATACAGACCAATTAGCTTAACTTCATTTCTCCTTAAACCCATGGAAAAGGTAATTGATCAATACCTTAGGTATGGAGTGCTGGTCACTAATCCACTCTATTCAAGTCAACATGCTTATCAGAAAGCAAAATCAACAATTAATGCTCTCCATGCTTTGACAAGCATTTTAGAGGAGACAATTACAACTAAAAAGATAGCCCTATGTGCTTTCATAGCCATAAACGGTGTTTTTGGTAAGACCTTCTACGAATCCATAGAAAAAGCCCTAAACGTAATGGAAACTCACGCCTCGGCCACACTCAGACTGTCTCGCCGAGAGTCATGCTGAAAAGTCGACAGGTCACAGCCAGTCTGAGAGGCGAGTAGTTGTCTATTAAGGCACTTAGAGGATGTCCTCAAAAGGAAGTTTCACTTCTCCTATTGGTGCCTGGTAGTTGATGACTTGATGAACACCTTAACAAAAAATGGATTCATGATTCCGGGATATGCTGATGATTTGATAATCACAATCCGAGATAAATATGACACAATCATAACCCAACTAATGCAGAAAGCTCTACTACTTACTAGCACGTGGTGCAGAAGTAATGGGCTCAGCATTAATCCAAACAAAGTTGAAATAGTCACTAGGAGAAGGAATCTACAATTGAACTAATAACCTAAGAACTATTAACCTCAAAACAGACGTCAAATACCTATGGGTAATACTAGACACTAAATTACACTGGAATTCCCACATAGCCAAGGTGAGGAAAAAGGTCATCATGGCTAATAATATCCTTGGAATGAACTGGGGTCTTAAACCACAAATGACTCACTGGGTCTACGTAGCAATAATCAGACCCACGGTCGCCTATGCCTCACTGGTTTAGTGGCCAAAATACTAAACACAAGACAGCACAATAACAGCTGGCGCAAATCCAGCGGTTAGCATGTCTTAACATAACGGGTGCAAAGAGATCTTGTCCAACGGCTGCTCTTGTAGCCCTAATCGGCCTCACACCACTTCATTTATACATACAGAATTAATTAATGTCTTAAATACTTACTTTAGGCACTTCTTAAGAAGATTTTTGTTTTTTTTTGTAAAATAATCAATACGGCAAGCTTCGTATTAGTACTAAGAACTTATTGTAGAGGTGCAAACCTAGTATTAGTAGGTTAGAGTTAAGTCTACTTTTTGGAATACGCAGTAGCTGATAATGTCTGGTGTTATACATATGTACATCTTCAATCTTATCTAGTGAGGCCTCTTTCTTTTTAGTTTCCAACAACTTATTGTATATATTCTTGTATTTGATAAATAGGGGCTTACATGTTGATGTTTGAGGAACTCCATCAATTGCCTTTTGATGGACTTCCTTTTGCCTCTTTGAGCATGGGAAGAGTTACCCCATACCGCAATTCCATACAGCATAGAAGCATGAAGTAAGGCCTAGTAAACTGTCCTGGCTTCCTCGCTGCCAATTAATTGTCGCACCCTTCTAATCGCATATATTTGACGACTCAGCCTGTTACAAAGTAATTCTACATGGTCGTACCAAGTGAGAAGGCTGTCTACAACAACACTCAAATCTTGCACCTTTCCTCCTTGGAACTCGTGATGAATTCTACTAGTTGTCAAGTAGATGTTGTTGGACTTTTCACGATTTGTAACAAGTTTATTGGTAGTAAACTAGTTAGATATAGATGTGCAAGTTCAAAGATCCTCACTATCTAGATATTCTTTCCTAGATGTCCATACAGTCAAAGCGTTTGCTTTTGAAAGATCATGGAAGTGTGCTAGACGGTTTTCCTCACATTCGAAACGATCGTAAATCCATTCAATCAGTCTCTGAAGATCATTTACCGTTGATTTACCTTTCAACTCATATTGCTCCTCAGTGAAAAATGTATTCTTATCAAAAAAGTTTATTATTCGGAGTGCCATGATTTTTCGAAGATTTTAGAAAAGGCTGGTAGAATAGCAACAGGACCAAATAGACCATTTTTCAAGCAGACGTTGTTGCGATAAACTTCTGCACCGTTTTGAACCTAGAAAAGGGATAGAAAAGTGGATCAGAGAGTGTACCAGCAACCTGAGAGAACTCGCTAGGGGCAATGATGTTACTCTATGCTGGGTTCCAGATCACAAAGACATGGAGGGCAGTGAGAAGGCGTACAAGCTTGCCAAAAAAGTTTTATACCTCAGCAAAGGGCATCTGAGCTCGCTCTCAGGCTTCCTGACCAGCCATGCGCCCCTAAAATACCACCTCATCCATGTTAGACAAGCTGAGGATCAAATTTCTCGACTTTGCAACGACAAGTCATAGATTGCTGAATATATACTATGTGAATGCGTCGCCAGAGGCCGCCTAAGACACAAACTTTTCGATTATCGCGGTTTCCGCCATTTTGGATCGAAATTCAAGCGGGAAATTTAAAATTTATGTCGCTTTGTTGATAAAATTACGCCGAATTTACTTTCTTTTTTTTTTCTCGTGGTACTCTGAAGAGTCGAAAGCCCTTCTTACTGCTATTTTTGCAACTCCATAGGCAACAAAACGGCATTACTTTTGTAAAGAAGTGATGACATGTACTGACAAGCTGTCAAACCGCCATTTTGGCTCGAATACACCAAGGTTTGTAAAGCGTATTGTAATACGCTTTACAAACCTAGGAATACACAGGCTTCATGAACCGCGGTACTTTGATAATCTAGGGACTTTATTTTCGATCAAGTTCGCCTGACACCTACTGACATGAAGGAACATGATGTTGGACCAATACTAAGGTTCATCCAGGACATACATTTGCCCTAAATCTTTGAGGGCTTAAGTTACAATAGATCTTATAGGTCGTGATGACGAGAAGGGCCACTCCCCTCAGCAATAATAATAATCCTTAATTCAAAGCATATCAGAGGCGCATATACACATATAAAGATTAAAAGAGAATAAATTATAAATCTAAGTATTTTTTACTAACAACAATTATTACAAAACATCATCAGTACATTTAGTAGATCGAAAATCAAAATTAACAATTTCAGGATACTCCTTACATAAAGTATCATAAGCATAACATAATCTAGAAAATTCTTCATTGGTGATTTGAAAAGGTCTTGTTTCATAATCAACATCAGCTAAAACAAATAATTGTGTACCTAAAATTTAAAAAAAATGATTAAACCCATAAATAAATAAAATAAAAAACTTTTACCTAACTGTTCCCTTAATTTTTCTGGAAATAAAGTTTCTCCACCTCTCAAAGCATATTTCTGTCTCATATTAAAAATATTCCTTAAAACTTTTTCAACCAATTTAAAAGGTAAATTTACGAAAGGATATCTTTTAGGTACAAAAGTAACCACTGCCACATCAACATCTGGTTTAGGTACAAATGCTTTTCCAGGAATAGTAAATTTATACTCCACATCACACCATAATTGGCACATAACTGATAATCGGCATCTTTGTTTATCTGAATCCGACGCAATAATCCGTTCACCAACTTCTTTTTGAAATGTTAAAGTTAACGGTGTTCTCCCATACAACCAAGCAGATTTCTTTTCAGATATTGAAGATAACCATCGAATTATTAAATTTGTTGAGACATTAAATGGTAGGTTTCCTATTAAATGAATAGGAGGGGGCAATTCAAGCCAATCATGTTTATACACTTTTTCAAATCCAACAACAAAGTTATAAGATCTAATATCACCAATTTCAATGATAAAATCCGTGTGTGGTGATGAAGCTTCTTGTAATAACTCCAAAGTGGGTAAAAATCGGGGATCCTTTTCGACTACTATTAATTTTTTTGGTTGTCTTTTCAAAATCGATCTTGTTATGCTCCCGGGGCCGGGACCAACCTCACAAATATACTGATTTCTAATATTACCTGCACACTTTACTATTTTATCTGTTATTCTTTCATCCAATAAAAAGTTTTGCGATAACTGTTTAATTGCTCTTAGCTTATATAAACGAACTAAATCTCTAACAGAAGGTAAAGGAGGTAATCTCAAAGCGTTTACTGCGGACATTATTATTGTTTTTCGATTACTTTACGCGGCTCCTCAAAATCGTCCAGGAACGTTTCCTGTTTCACTGCGTACATAGAATAAAAGTAAATTCCCAATACACCACAACCAATTATTCCGGCTGTGAGGAGGTTATTTCGTCGAACTTTTTTGAGTTTTTCTACGCGTTCTTTGTTTTGCTTTTCAACGTAACGAATGAAGTCTATTTCGGCTGGTCTCAATTTAGCGACATCAATTTTAGGCATGCGATCACTATCACCCATTATTATTATTACCTTATTATTATATTTCGGCGTTTTTAAGGAGATCTCGAGGAACCCTGTTTGACGTTAAAAGTAACTAAAGATAAGACGATTGTAAATAAAAAATCCCTATTTATTAAAAGTAATTTTTATAAATAAATAGATTTTTAAATAAAACTTATATAAAAGAATTTTCTTTGTTATTTATCTTTATTTCCCCAATCTTAATTAATTCTTAATTAAATTTAAGTACTATTAAAATAATTAAATATTTTTTTGAATAGGTTGGCAGCCGCATGGAAACGTCAAAAGTTAAAATCAAGCGGCGTTTGAGGTTAACTTTCAAAAAACACATTTTTTAGTAACTAAAAGATTTAATTTGAGGTAATGATACAGTTATAATAAACAGTATGGAACGATTAAGTCTGGAAGAGAAAAATGAGCAAATAAAAGTAACTTGTCAACTTCATAAAAAATCCTTCAAAATGAGACCAAACTCGACATATTTAACTTTAATATTAATGAAAATACAATCACTTCCGGTTTGAAACGTCAACGTCAATTTTGACATATTTGTCATCTTCATTAAAGAACCTTTAAAATGAGTCCAAAGATAACGCACTTATGTCAAAAAATAAAAAACGTTAAACCCGAAGTTAGCAATAATAAAGATAAAAACGAAAAATAAAGAAGTTATAGGCAAAAAACGAAAAAGTAATTTTTTTGTTTTTCGGTCATATTTTAAAAACTAAAACGGCTAGATCCAGAAACTTAGTTGAAAAATGATGAGCTCTAAGATACGCAACTTTGCCCCCATTTAACTATTTCTGTATCTCTTATGGTTTCTGAGATCCCAATGGTGGGGGTCGAATTTGAATTACCTGTATATGTACTATATTCCATACATAATGGGAATCCTGTTATTTTATTATATTTTTCCTCCAATGACGTCACGTTTCCTACCTCACCTCGTCAACTTCAATTCGTTCGAGTTGGATAACCTTATAACCATATATAAACTATCTCCATATAGAGAGATAGTATATATATACAGGTGTATCTGAATGACTGCAACAAACTTCAAGGGATGATTCTTTAGTGAATTTTAAGGGTACTTTGATATATGAACCATGGGCGCATTTTTTGACCCTATTTGTACTTTCAACCTACCCTTCTAAACTACTAAACGTAACCACCCCCGTTCAATTTATGCCTAGATTTTTTTTATGAAGATGATAAATACATTGGAAAAATTTTAGTTAGATAAATAAAACTATTCTAAAACTTTTTTGTCTCTCTGATTTTCTTCGAAAATTTAATAATTTCTGAGAAAAAAAATAATGAAATTGAAATAATAAAATTGTTCGCTGCGCATCGAAGCGAAGCGAGCGACGTTGCCAGATCGTTGGGTCTAACTTAAAAAAATGAAAAAAGGAAATAAATATATTTTAAATGAAAGATATAATTTCAACATAATAATTTATTATTCACAAAATTAATAAAAGGAAAGAGCCAGCACTTCTTTTTTCTGATTTCGGGACTGGCTGCTAAAGAAATTTCTAGTTTCTTTATTCAAATATTTGAGGTTCACCAATACCTGAGGATTTTTCCTCAGTTGTATTAGCTTTTGCCTTATTGTTCTGGCATTTTTCTTAGCGCGACACAACGGTTTTTTTACTCCAGTTAGGTTGCAATTGCTGTAGTTCTTTGTAAAAGGTAATTTTCTCCGTTTCTTATCTACAAAAATTAAAGATAATTTTAAATAAGAATGATTATTCAGTTTTTATGATATTTACCAATTATTTCTTTTTCATCACTTAGGTGAACCCGTTTCCTATTCATTTCTAATGAAATGGCAGAATTTTGCTCACTAAATGAGATTGAAGCAACTTCGTAATCTTGTTGTTTACTACATCCAGGATAGACTTGCATAACAGTTGAACTAGTTACACCAGGAAGTTTGTCAGGAAGATATAATTATGAATTATGCAACTAAATAATTAATTTCATACCATGCAACATACCTGAAGTATCTTCTGTTGGTTGATCTTGTGGAGACAAAAAGCAATTATCTGTAGTTTCGTCTTACAAATCTAGATGATATAAAAAATTTATATAATTAATAAAATATATATAGATTAAAAAACAAACTTTTTATGTGAAATTTCATTTACCTAGTAAGTATAATGTACGAAGCTTCTTCAATTTCTCCTCAACATATTTGCACATTGGCGCAAACACAATAGTTACTTAGACGCTTATCATTAATTAATTCAAATAATTTTGAATTGTTTATTCGATAGAGCCAAGCCATTCGAATAATAAGGTTGGTCGGGAAATAATACCTAGAAATACAGAATGAAAGTAATTATGCCGTATTAATTAATAATTTTTATAATTTACCTTTTAATGTCTTTATCATCGTAAGATGGTACACAGCGAGGTTTAATAACCGAAATTTTTATTATTTAAAAGTTTTTAAATGTTTTTTTTAACACATAATTACAAAATTACACTTATAAACTACACTTATTAAAAAAATTAATTGATTTATCAATAACATTTATATTTGACATCACTTTGACTTAATTAATCAAAGATGAATACAAAAAAAAATAAATGAAATAGAAGCCACCTTAAAGGTTGGCATTAGATTTTAACTGGAATTAGTTATCGACGATGACATCGGATGGCGCTGACGACGGTTACATTTGTAAATAAAAAATCCCTATTTATCAGAAATAATTTTTATAAATAAATAGATTTTTATATTAAACTTGTATAAAAGAATTTTCTTTCTCATTTATCTTTATTCCTTTAATCTTTTAATTAAATCTAAATGCTATTAAAATAATTAAATATTTTTTTGAATAGGTTGGCAGCCGCATGGAAACGTCAAAAGTTAAAATCAAGCGGCGTTTGAGGTTAACTTTCAAAAAACACATTTTAATGATATAGTTATAATAAACAGTATGGAACGATTAAGTGTGGAAGAGAAAAATGAGCAAATCTTGGCCGTACTACTTGTCGACTTTGATAATTGCGACGCGGTTGAAGAAGACAGTGAGTACATCGAAATGGTTTATCCTACGCTCCCAGTGTGGAAAGTATTAATAAAAAACAACGAATCTTGGGATGAATTAATAAAATGTAATTTCGACGAAAGCATTGTTAAAGAAGAGATCATTAAGTTACCAAAGGAGCAAATAAGAACATTTTTTACTTTCGGAGTTGGATGTTTATTGGGTTTTGTACAAGCAAATTTTACCGGACCTGATTTGTTGCCTGAAATCGTTGATTATCTAAAAGACCCTAAGTTTGAAGGATACGATTTTGCCAAGATGTTAGCAGTAAATAACGAGGAAATTAATATAAACGTAAAATATCCCTGTTTGCTAGTAGCAGCTAGAATCATGTTTCAACATTGCCAAGTAATGAGACCCATGTTAAACCTTTGGTGGATGTGGAGAGTACTCATTATTCACCAACTTGTTTTAGACGAACCAAGTACAACCATATTACACACCGCCGAACAAATGCAAAAGGAAATCCAAAATTTAGAGTTAGCAAGTGAGTAAATTAAATTTAAAATTACTTAAAAATAAAATAAAAATTTTAGGTCATCATAGAATTAAATTCGAAGTTGAACAAGCTCAACTTTATCTCATTTATCGCAACTTTAGTAAAGCAGAAATGCATTTAAACATCGCTTGTGATGTAGCAGGCTTAAAATACCAACTCGTGGGGAAATTGGGAAAACGTACAAAACACCAACAAGAAGATATTGCCCAAATCGCTCTTAAAATGGAATTGGAATCTCGTGACAACATAGAACGCGAACCTGTCTTAAAACTTCCAGTCCCCAAAGACGTCTATCTCGACGATGACGTGCGTTTAGACCAAGTACAATACGCCGAAGGAATGGAAACGCCAATGTTACCCAATACGGAACAAAAACTTGTTTTGGCCCTCATTCATAAAATGTCCATATGTAAACCGCAAGATGAGCTATTTTATGAAGAAATTAAACCGTTTATTGACGTGATTTTAAATCAAAATAACACCTGGGCAGTGAGAACAGCTGCTTTATTGATGCGAGCCAAAATTGAATCGAAACATAAGCGAACTGTGGAGAGATCTTTGATGCAATTAGAAGAAATAATGATTTGTATTAGAAAAAATGATCCGCATCCTATGACTAGAGTGGGGGGAGTTTATGGAACGGCGATGCCTCCAATTTGGAAAACTGAGGCTCATCATGCTGAACTTATGTTGAATTTGGGGATGGTGAAAGGTGCTTTGGAGGTTTATACAAGATTGCGGTTATGGGAGGAAGTTATTGTGTGTTATACGATTATGAATGCTCGACATAAAGCAGCGGAAATTATTCGGCAAGAGTTAGATAAAGCTCCAACAGTAAAATTATGGTGTTTATTAGGTAAAATTAATATACAGCACGATTTTTCTCCTGATCCTTATGCCTGATGGCGTCGGATAAATATTTTTCCTATTCCTCCATCCACTTCTTCCACTCCCTCCTGTTCCTGGCTAATTCCTTTATATCTACTAGAGTCTTCCCTCTCTTCTTCCCAACTTCTGCTATTCTTTCCTCCCACTTCTTCCTAGATCAGCAAAATAGAGAGAAAGCAACTAAACTGAAATAGTAAAAAAGGTATTTGAAGCAAAGAATAAGGATAAGAAAAAGAGGGGAACTTTTTCTTCCTCTTGATCTATTCTCAATTTACTATCTGAATGTACTGTCAATATTTCAACCAACTTTCTTTTCCAACTGCCTTTTTATGGTTCTCTGCTATCAGCACTATTTTGTCAGCATATAGTAAATTGTTTATTTTTATTGGTTCCAAACTTTTATAACCTATTATTGTTTGATATTTATTTGTTCTTGTTCTTGTATTTTTTATCACTCTGTCCATTAATATTATAAATAACAAGGGGTTTAGGCTATCGCCTTGTTTTATTCCCTTGCTCATTTTAATAGTTTTTGATGTTTCTCCCTTCATTTGTACAGGGTGTCCAAATTTCGATGGGTTTGCAGGGTATCTCAGTTATTATGAAAGATTTAACTTGGTAAGATTAATCCATCTACCTGCAGTGATCTGATGCTGGATGGTAATGTCATATGGTTTTCTAACACAGTTAAAAATCTTGGAGTCCTTATGGATTCTGCACTGTCTTGGAAACCGCAAATTCAACATGTTTGCAGAAAAGTCTATGCTTGCTTCCACTCTTTAAAAAGACTTCGCTGCTCTCTTCCTCCTGTGGTGCGTCGTAATCTTCGACTATGCGGACGCGGTTTATCCCGATCTCTCAGTGACTCTTCTGAGTAAATTGCAGCGGCTACAAAATAATTGTATCCGGTTCATATTTGACCTAAATAGATTTGAGCATGTAACGCCGTATCGGAATTACATTCAGATGTTAACCTGTGAGAGACGTAGATCCTTTCGTTTATTAACCATTTTATTTAAAATCCTTCATAACTGCACCCCAAAGTACTTTCAAGATCCTTTCGTTTATTAACCATTTTATTTAAAATCCTTCATAACTGCACCCCAAAGTACTTATCAGATTACATTACATTACATTACATAGAATACATATCGGGTAGGCGGACCAACCAACCTTACACCGCGACCCTAAGGATCTATTGTACCCCGATAGATATCGTTATCAAATTTCACCGTGCAGTCCAATGTTCTTAACGAACATTAATACCTTGCTCGGCGAAAGGTCATTCAGATCTTTTGAGGAGATAAACTGCGATCCAAAAATCGAAAATCTGATACGGTTAGCGGCAGGGCAGTGGCATAAAACATGCTCAACCGTCTCTGCTTCCTCCGCACATAGTCGGCATTCAACATCGTCGGCTAAACCCAACAAGTTGAGGTGTGCTTTTAATCGGCAGTGCCCAGTAAAAACACCCATTAGAACTTTTATGCTACTACAGGCAAGTCCTAAAATATTCCCGGGTTTGACAGTGGCGATGTTAATAAACACCTTAGTATGTCTCATTCCAGGAGAACTGGTCCACAGTAGGCGAAGTCTCTCTTCAGCCCACAGTCCAATCCTATATTTGGCCATCGCAAATGATACACCAACTGCTGGTTCCGGTCCCACAAACGCTTCAGCGCTGCCATCTCGTGCTAGCTTATCTGCCGCTTCATTGCCAGCAACCCCAGAGTGACCCGGGACCCAGATCAGAGAGATTCTGTTATCACAACTCAGTGTGTTTAATGTTCTCTTACAATCATTAACCAGAGCCGACACCGTTTTCACGGCTTGCAGCGCCTGGAGAGCGGCTTGACTGTCTGAGAAAATTCGTACTGTCATGTTCTTCACCCCTCTTTCAAGAAGGATTTTAGCACCCATGTCAATAGCAAATACTTCCGCCTGGAATACAGTACAGTACGTACCCAGGCTGTAGGCTTGCTTAATTCGAGGTGTCTGGCAGTATACTCCTGCTCCTACCCCTTCAGGCATTTTTGATCCATCTGTGTACAAGCAAATGTCTGCCCGAACCAGAGAATTTTCATTTTCGATGAACTTGACTTATCAGATAGGTTCCAGCAATTATCAACTCATGAGCTTGCTACACGTTCGCGTTCTGATACTATTCTTACAATTCCCGTTCATAGCACTGAAATTTATCATAGATCATTTACAGTACAGTCGATTGCGCTGTGGAATGGACTGCCTTCTGAAATTCGTAATATTTCTAGAATTACTAATTTTAGACATGTTTTAAAAAGCACTTCAACTGGCTGTTTCCTGATTCTACTTGCCATATTCAGTAAATATTATTTTTATTTTTGTTTGTTCTGTTGGGTCATTTGGCAGAGATCGCTTGTGCGATAAAATGATCCATTTGCTGATACTGCTTACTGTTTAAGTTAAGTGTATCTTATGTAATTTTGTATTTTTATCTGTGGCAATAAATGGTAAATAATAATAATTTAAAGTAACGGCTTTCGAGAACCTGAGCTACTTTTTTGTGAATCTTACAATGGCCTTCAGCGGCTTTCATAGCCTTCTTCGTTTTTGATATACAGGGAGCGTTTGAAACTTACGGTTTTCACACACCTCCTGTATCTCGACTATCCGGAAACTTAGTAAGAAAGTAAAAACGGGTTCTAATAGATTTTTTCACGTGGAATCCAATGGTGCACGTAGAATTTTTCTAGTCATCACGGTTTTTGAGTTATAAACACAACTCAAATACTGCATACTCATCTTCTAAAATACTCAGCTCTTTAGAACTCAAAGAACCTCAGCCAACTTACCATTTGTTGCTAATTTGACATGCTCTTCTATGATAGGGTCAAACTTTGCTAATAATTTTACGAGCCCTAGAAATTTTCCATTATTTTTGGTAAATAATTTATCAGAAGAGACTCGGAAAGCCATATTATTTTCAGCTAAATATAATGTAATGTGCCTCAGTCGTTGAAGCACGTTTTTCCATCGTAAACTTTCCTTAGAAATTAATTTTCGTGTTTGTCAATAGTTGATCCAATTTTTAATCTAATTTCAGCTTCAATCCATTGGTTCAGTGCTTTTTTGGAACAGATTCTTGTGCTTGATTTAATTGTTTTGAACCTGAACAAATACAGTAAAATTCCCCTAACTCGAACTTCCATATCTCGAATTATCCTCTAAATCGAATAATTTTCGTAAGCTCAAGCGTTTGACTAGAGTACGACGTGTTTAAATGTATTTCTCTAACTCGAATTTTCCATAACCCGAAGTTTTCTTCCGCTCCCTTAGTGATTCGAGTTAGGGAAATTTCACTGTATTAACCAAAAAAAAAATATACAGGATGTATCTGAATGACATCAAACTTCATGGGGTGATTCTTTAGGCAATTTTAAGGGTACTTTAATATATGAACCATGGGCGACTTCGGCTCCCCTAAGGAGCTACACCCCTCCAAAAATGGTGGAAAATTTTGGTTTAATTTTCTTTTCTCAAAAACCATAAACGCTAGGAAAATAAAATTTGGGGAATATGTTTAACTCATAATAGGGCACGTTTTGACCCTATTTGTACTTTCAACCTACCCTTCTAAACTACTGACCTCAAAAACATTTTTTTTACAGACTACTTTCATACTTCCTGCAGAAGTTTAATAATTTTTTGTATAATTTTCGTTGTCATGGTCGTCTTTCCATTCTAAATATTCTCGAGAATTCTTGGATTTATTCTGCCATTTTGCACAAGCATGACTAGATCTACTCGCACATCTAGATCGATGACTTTGCCACAGTAATGCGCTATGAGAGTTATTATCCCGAACAAAGATTTAACTGTACGTTTATTATTTCTGCCAGTTTCTTCATCCACTATCTTCCCCTCGTCGTTTGCTTCATCCTTTACAATTACAATTTTTTTTACTTGAAATATTAACAATTTTATTTTGTTAGGTGACGCAACTGATGATGTTACATGTTACGAAAGAGCATGGGCTTTATCTCGAAAAAGAAGCCATCGCGTGCAACGTCACTGGGGAATGTTTCTTTACGGCAAAAAACAATACCAAGAATGTATCCCACATTTTGAAAAATCAGTAAGTATAAATCCACTTCAACCGAAAGTTTGGTTACGACTTGGATACGCCGCTTTGGAAGTGGAAAATTGGCAAGTTGCAGCAACAGCTTATCGCCGTTATGTTACGCAAGAACCTGATTCGTTTGAAGCATGGAATAATCTCGCTCAAGTGTACATCAAACTTGGCAATAAACGTGCCGCTCATCATGCGTTAATTGACGCTTTAAGATGTAACTTTGAAAATTGGAAAGTTTGGGAGAATTTATTGGTAGTTAGCGCTGATATTAATCATTTTAAAGATATTATTAGAACGTATCATCAATTATTAGATTTAAAGGAGAAATATTTAAACACTGAGGTGTTAGGAGTTTTAGTTTATGGTGTTTGTAAAAACGCTAACGACCACGAAGGAAAACCATGTGGTCATTTGATGCAACGCACAAGAGAATTACTTGGAAGAGTTACCGCTCTTTATCCTGCTGATGGATTTTTATGGGAACTATACGCAAATTTATCCCCGGTATTGTATTTACGCGCACAACGTTTACAAAGGGCTTATCGCGGTTATACGAGTCAAAGTAATTGGGACAAATCTTCATCGAGGTGTCAACAAGTACTATATGTTTTACACAATTTAGCTGAGGTGACTTTAAACGAAGAAATTGATCCAAAAGATACTTTAGTGCATTCGGTACGTTTGACGATGAGTTCATCTTTAACGATAATCAAAAAGCATAATTACACCGACGTGAAAACCTTGATGACTGAAGTAGCTGGGTTATTAGCTAAAGTTATTGAAAAGGCTAAATTAGGATCAATTTCAAAAGGAGAACCTCAAAAACCCGCTGAATCTTCTACTTCGTCTTCGACAACATCAACACCGACATCAACATCTTCATCATCGTCTTCTTAAAAATAAGAAAATTTTTTTTATACTTTGATGTAAATTTTTATACTATCATTTATTATCTATATAGAATATTGTAGATTTTAAATGGATTGAGTGTATTTAAAAATAAATAGAAATGAAAAATATTGGTTATTTAATTTTATTTCGTTGGTATTGGTTATAAGGTTATCTAACTCGAACAAATTGACGTTGACGGGGTGAGGTAGGAAACGTGACGTCATTGGAGGAAAAGTATAATATACAGGTGTCCATTATATATGGAATATAGTATATATCTTGGCATTCAATTGTTTTTATTTCAATTGTTTCAAAACAAATTGAAGTTTTTTAAATGACAATGTATCCTTTCGTTAGGCTCATTTGATAGAGATTTGTTTTCTCATTACGATGCCGTAAAATTTTAATACTCATATCAGAAAATTTTTGAAAAAAATTTAAAAATTGTAAAAAAAGAATTGTAATTTAGCCGTCTTTAGAGATGTGCGGCTAAACCCGAGTTTTTCTAATTCTAGCTCTAGTGTTAGTTCTAGTTTTAGTGCAATAAAAATATACAACATAGTGATATCTAGCAACATCATGTTTGAACTCATTTTAATGTTTTTTTTTTAATAAAGAATACATCATAAGAGAACACCATGAAGTTGTCCATTTGTCTATTATATGATAACTAACTTCAGATTTAAAATGTCAACCTCAATTTTGACATATTTATAATCTTCATTAAAAATCCTTTAAAATGAGTACAAACACGACATATTTATCTTCAATATTAATGAAGTTATGGTCAACTTCCGGTTACAAATGTCAACGTCAATTTTGACATATTTGTAATTGCCGTGAAAAATCCTTTAAAAAGAGCCCAAACATGATACGTTTAATTCCAATATTACTCGAGATATAAGCAACTTCCGGTTTGAAATGTCAATGTCATTTTGACATATTCTTAATTTTTATAAAATGTCTTAATATTTGTCACAAAAACAAAAATATAATTAAAAAAAATCAAAAATTAAGGTTAGTATTAATATTTAAAAATTAAATTTTTATTTTCATTGTTGCTAACTTCGGGTTTAATGTTTTTTATTCAAACTTTTTTGTTTTTTGAGATAAGTGAGATGACGCACTCATTTTAAAGGTTTTTTAATGACGATGACAAATATGTCAAAATTGACGTTGACGTTTCAAACCGGAAGTGATTGTATTTCCATTAATATTAACGTTAAATATGTCGAAATATGTACTCATTTTACAGGAATTATGAAGTTGATAAATATGTCAAAATTAAAAGTTGGAAGTTCGAACTTTTTGGTTTTTTGAGATAAATGCGTCAAGTTTGGACTCACTTTAAAGGTTATTTTATGAAGATTACGAATATAATAAAATTAAAGTTGACATTGACAACTGAAAGTTTTTTTCACGACTAAACTCGACTGTTTCTAGTTCTAGGTCTTGTGTTAGTTCTAGTGATAGTGTAAAACTAACACTAGACCTAGAACTAGAAATATTCGGGTTTAGCCGTGCGTCTTCAGACTTTTCTAAGTTCTTGTCTATGAGGCCCGGCTAAACCTAAAACTTTCTAGTTCCAGGTCTAGTGTTCTAGTTCTAATTGTTATTTAACCCTAAATTCTTCTACATTTTAATTGATCTAAAAATATTTTTTTTTTGATTTAATCCACTTACCTTGCTTATAATTTCATCCATTTACCCATTTTGAATTAAATACAACCTTTAAATTCAATTAATTATGTGTTTTTCATTAAAAAAAACTTAAATTCAACGTCAATTTTAACAAGCAACTGCCATATTTGGATCTTAATCACCATGGTAACCGAGTCAAGTTGGATAACCTTAAAATAATAAAATTTTATTCCGATTTTTTATCGATTCTAACCTAATTTTTATTAATTTTAAAACAATCCGTTACGATTATTTCGCATTCATAACATATTCGTTAATTGTAGTTAATTTAAATCGATTCTAATTAATTTATTTTTTTTTTATTTAATCTACTTACTGTGCTTATAATACCCTAGATAAACCAACTTTGAGTTAAATACAGCCTTTTAAAACAATTAAATAAGACTTTTTCCTTAAAAGACCTTAAATTCAATTTCAATTTTGACAAGCACCTGCAATATTTGGATCTTAATCACCATGGTAACCGAGTCAAGTTGGATAACCTAACAATAATAAAATTATAACATAACCGTTAATATTTTGCTTTATATTTTAATATTTTTTTAATTTTATTTTATTTTTTTTTAACATTTTTATATATTGCTTCTTAAGTGAAATACACTGTATAAATCAAAATATAGAAATGTCAATTCTTCCAATGACGTCACAGCAGGGCCTTTGCGGGGGGATACGGTCATAACAACATTTACTCAATGGACCTTGGACAAGACGTCAAATCTTATTTTCTATCTCTGTTTTTCTTTATGATTCAACATTGTTTTTCTCTTTTTAAGTTATTGCGATCAAAATAAATTGACATCCTCGAGTTCTTGTTTTTCAATCTGTCATTTGGTAAAATTGCAATTTCGCTCCCAGATTTTGTTCAAACGCTAATCTAAAAATAGATGCATTTTTAATATTTAATGTGAAAAGGATATGGCATCAGCACTAGAACAATTCGTTAATACCGTTAGGAATCTTTCTTCGCAAGGTATGTTACATTTGATTTTTGCGTTTGCCGCGGTTTGAGGTTATGTTTGTTTTTTTAGGAAATTATCGAGAACTTTGCGAATATTTATCAAAATCGAATGAATCTTTATTAAAACATGGGCCCCATTTGGATAACGTTCTTGAAACTTTAGATTTACAACAGCATTCTCTTGGATTTTTGGCTGTGTTGAATGCAAAGTTTAATTTGTCTTGTACGGGGGCTACTCAAGAGAACAAATTTAATCAGGCTCAAGATTTTATTAATGGTTGTAATGGGGAACAAATTCGATTAGCGCCCGATTTATGTAAGTTTAAAAATTGGAAAATTCAAATTCTTAAATTTTTTTTTAGTTGCTGAATTTTGCCATGGATTTACTCATTATTTAATCACGCAAAAGAAAGCAATAAGAGGGATAATGCTTTTAAAAAAGGCGATATCAAAACTCCAATTATACGACTCTCAATTAACATCCATTCATGCTGATTTATGTCAATTAAGTTTGTTGGCGAAATGTTTTAAACCGGCTATCCAAATCTTAAACATCGATATAACTGGTATTTGCCAGGAGGTGATGGAGGACGTATGTCCCAAAATTGATCAAATCCTAATGTATTCCTTAGAAATCTGCTCTTTTTAAGAATCCACAACTTTTAAATGGAGCCACATTCGATGCCAAGTACTATCTGCTTTACTTTTATTATGGCGCTATGATTTATTTAGCTGTGAGGAATTTAGATCGTGCTTTATACTTCTTGGAGGTTGCCATTACAACACCTGCACATGCCGTTTCTCATATTATGTTGGAGGCTTATAAGAAATATATTCTTGTTTCATTACTTTTGCATGGAAAGGTAATAAAGAATTTTTTTTATAATAATTTAATAATTAATCATTTAATTTTTAGGTTCAAATGGTGCCCAAATACACATCACAAGTTGTTAATCGATTTATTAAACCACTTTCGCATCCTTATCATGATTTAGCAACAGCCTTTTCATCTAATAACACTTCAGAACTGAATTCGGTTTTAAATAAACACACCGAAGTAAAGAATTTTATTAAAACTTTATTTATTTTTTATATATACGTTATTTTTATGATTTAGGTGTATACTAGAGATCGTAATTATGGACTTGTTAAACAAGTAGCAACTGTTATGTATAAAAAAAGCATTCAACGATTAACAAAGACTTTTCTTACGCTTAGTTTGTCAGATGTGGCGAGTAGAGTTGGGTTACCCGGTCCGGCTGATGCTGAAAAATATATTTTACACATGATAGAAGATGAACAAATTTATGCAACTATTAACCAAAAGGATGGTATGGTTGTGTTTAGAGATGAACCGGATAAATATAGCGGACCGGATGTTTTAAAAAATTTGGAAACGCAATTAAGTCTTTGTATGGAATTGGATAGACAGATTTTGTCGATGGATGAAGAAATCCAAGTGAATCCGCAGTATGTAAAAAAGGCAAGTGGAATGCAAGAAGATGAACAACCTAGTAAGAGTACCTACGCTATGTAAGTTGATTTACAAAGGAAGAATGGGTTAAAAGATGTGCATAAGAAACTTTTCTAATTCAACAGAAAAATACGCGTTTTTAGGTCCATGTGTGTATTTATTTGATTGTTTTAATTAATTTTCATATGCTTGAAGATCTTTCTGTGAATTGATTTGAATGTAAAGAATTTATTGAATTAATAGATAGAAACATTTCTTTCTTAATTTTTTTTCATTTTGTTCCTTCTGGTTTGGATTTATTAAGTATGTTTATCTAAAACAGTGTGTCTTAACCTTTTACAGTGTCCAAATATCGGGTTATCTCAAAAAAATATCATTTAAAGCTAAATAGACATAGATAACCGCCATTCTGGAAATAAAATTGAGCTACCCTGGTCATGTTGGTGCTCGTTTTAAAAGATTTTTATGTCTAGAATCTCTACAGGTAAACAGTAAGTAACAACATTACAATTATTTAGATTTCTTCTGCAGAACATGTAGTTACATCTCCTTCCATTAATTATTTATGGTTAGCTTAAAAATCACGATGCAGTTTAAACCCCAATCCGTATTATACAGTCATTATTCACGGGTAATCAACTTGACAGACTAATAATAACTATTTGAAACGTTAAAATTTCAAAAAACGTCAATTTTATTCTTTATTAAAACGTTTTATAAAATTGACATTTAATTTTGACATATTGTTGTGAAGTTAGTTACAGTTAGTAACATTGAATTTGTGTCGCATTGACGTTTAAACTTTATTCAAAAATGTATTTATAAATAAATTTATGGAATCAATTTTAATAGTCGTGGACAAAGTATAGTATAATGCTCTGATATGCTCATATAATAATATACTATTATACATACAGACATATCACAATATGTGATGACAATGGACACTTCCGCCGCATGATGTGTACGCGTCTTGTACGCGATAATTACTTTCTCATTACTTTCCAAAGTAGCGGATTCTAGCGACTGAATTTTTTACAGCAAATTATGGAAGGTACAAGGATGGTATTTATATACAGCCTGATTCAGAGGAAGCGCCTTATTTTTTTTAGCCACACTATGGGTACTACTTTCAAAATATTTGGCAGTAATATGTTTTAGGACACTCTCTACACGATGGTGATATCATATTTTCAATTGGACGAATTATTTCAAAATGGCGACTGTCAACTTTTTTTTTTTAAATGGAATGCCAAAATTTTTTTTTTATTATTGAGATCTTAAAAGCATTCTTTTTACGACAGTATTTTGTTTTTCTTAAAAATTCATTTCTTTCCCCATCCAAAAGGAACCTAATATTTTAATCTATACTCTGTTTTTAAACCAGGAGGAGTATTTTAAATTTGTCACCAGATTGACCTTGCACGTGATTGGTTGAATGCGAGGAAGGTTCACACACAGGCAATTTTGAATTTGAAGGTTAGGTAATTGATAATTCGACAGTTTCGTGTCATTATTGTATATTTTGTGTTCTTAAACCCTTTTTTATTATATTTTGAAATAAATATACTCATAACTTCAATGTTAATTTGTATGTTTAGTGTTGACGATAACAAACGAAAATAAATACAATAATAAGTAAATAAATAAATAATAACAATTATTAATTTAAATTTACCGCCAAAATATCTAGTGATATTTTCTGGTGATTTTTCCTAGTGTAAATCTGACTTTCGCGTTTACTCCTCCTGGTTTAAAAACAGAGTATAGTAGCGCATGAATGTTTTACACTCGATGTTATTTTTGTCAAAATAAATAAATAAGTAGATGTTTATTACAAAATAAAGTTTAATTGTTTCTTTTGTGTCTAGCGCTACTTGATATTTGGACAAAAATAACATCGAGTGTAAAACATTCATGCGCTACTAGATTAAAAAGTGTGCTTTTTGATGGGGAAAGAAATGAATTTTTAAGAAAAACAAAATACTATCGTATAAAGAATGTTTTTAGGACCTCAATAATAAAAAAAAAAGTTGACAGTCGCCATTTTGAAATAATTCTTCCAATTGAAAATGTGGCATCACCATCGTGTAGAGAATGACCCAAAACATATTACTGCCAAATATTTTGAAAGTAGTACCCATAGTGTGGCTAAAAAAAAATAAGGCGCTTACTCTGAATCAGGCTGTATATTTTGGACCGGAGGCAGTTGGATATGTATATTAGACGCATTTTTCGCCTCATGATCTCTGCGCGCTTGGTAATAATTACTTTACTTCTTATTATTTTCCAAAGTAGCATACTGTAGAGACTGAAATTTTAACAACTAATAACAGAGGGTACAAGGATTGTATTGATACATGTTTTGGGCCGAAGGAAGTTGGAGATGTATATTAAAAGCATTTTTCGCCGCATGATCTCTGCGCGCTTGGTGATCATTACGTTACTGATCATTATTTTTCAAAGTAACATACTGTAAAGGCTGAAATTTTAATAGCTAATAATAGAGGGTACAAGGATTGTATTGATGCATTTTTGGAGCCGGAGATCTATATTAAAATCATTTTCCGCCGCATGATGTGTGTGCATTCGGTGATAATTACTTTAATTGTAATTATTTTCCAAAGTAGCGCATTCTAGCGGCTGAAATTTTTACAGCAAATTATAGAAGGTACATGGATTGTATTGACATATAGTATTTGGGACCAAAGGCTACCGCAGCTGATTTTTTTCCACTCATAAACCAGCGTACGACGTACTGAAATAAACACATGTTATTTTAAGTGGAATGATATAGTTTTTATTTCATATTCTGATTCTACACACAAAACTAAGTTGACTTTGATAACCCATGTTGATACCTAGTGCTTTTAGTTTTTGAGTTATTTTAATTAGAAGCTTTTTTAGCAATTAACTTTCAAATCTGAATTTCTTAATTGGCGACTGATCGAGCTAGAAAGTTAAAATTTGTGACAGTTGCTGCTTGAATATCCTTAAATATATATCCTTAAAACTTATACAGGAAAAATGTAACTGATGTAACTAATATCACCAATTATTAATTAAAGTATCCTCTTTTTAATGCAATAAACCGTTTTGAAAAATTATCAAAGCATCATCAAGCATCAAAAAAGTTAATTTTGTATCTTGCGTCCAAATAAGTTGCCATATCTTATCAGCTTTCTTATTAATTTAATTTTTATTCAAATATCGCAATAATGTGGCAATGTAGAGTATCACTTCAAATGCACCAGAAGTTATAACCATAATGGAAGTAAATCGGACACTTACATATGTTTGGACAAAAAAATCGATATCGGACACTTATTTCTGGACAGAGAGAGTATTATAATTCGTTCCTTGGAGCCGCATTTAAATAAAGAAAGAGCCGTATTTGCCCACCGTTGCCTTATAACTTTTTTTTTATATAGTAACTTTATGAAAGTTACTTTTCTAACACTTTAGTTAGGTTATTTTTATCATCTTTAATATAATTTTGAATCTAAATTGCTTGCAATAATAAGATATTTTCCCTCTACAACCGCTCAATAGGGTTTTTGATGGATTTTTGACAGTTTTAGCCATTTTTAGGTTAGGTTACTTGTCATTTCTACTCAATATTAAATTCTTTAAATATTTTCAACTTCAATAAAAATGTTAAATTATACATTATTGTATATTTTGTTATTAACTTTATTGTAATAATGTACTTCTTTTTATAAATTATGTTATAAATTTGTTTTCTTTTAATTTAAATCTTGGTTAATAAGAGGTACCAACATAAAACACAACAATTATTAAATATCAATTATTTAATTAATAAGAAGATAAATATGTATTTTTAAGATTTAAGAACTAAAACATACTCAGATATTAATAATTTTCTAGTTTTCATCATCAAAAAACCCAAACAAAAATAATTAATTATTTATTATAGATTCATCATAAATAATTTAAGCACTTAGCAACTATATAATACAAAATTAAAATAAACAAGTATTCTTTTTATAAATTGAAAAAAACAACTTTATAAGATATCATAAATATTTTGTAAAGATTGCCAAATATCTAATAATACTTCTTTTAAAGGTTCTTTCGTCGACTCGTTAAAAAATCGAATTTGCTTTAAATTCTTACAAACATATTTGTAATGCTTTTCATATTCGGGCCAAGCGCAATCCTCGAAATATCCAGGACAATCTGGTGGTTCATAAACCCTTTGAATTCTTCTATTGTAACATTCCTCCCGATCCAAAGTAACAAAGTATTTTAAATTGCATAATTCCTCGATTGTTTTATCAGCAAAAATGCAAAAACCTTCGATAATCAAGATATTGATGTGTAAATTTTTGGCCACTTGCACCACCGAAGATTGGACATCAAAAGACGGATTGATTTTTGTTACTAAATCATCTTCGATGATCTTAACATTAGTCTCTACCAAATTTTCTGTAGAAGCTATAGATTCTTGAATTGATTCAACCATTTTTTTCATATCCAAACTGGAAGAGACATCGAAATTGATATGGTTTAAATGCGGGATAATCACGTGACGTTCATCATCAATGGGCAAAAAATAATCATCTTGACTTATTACTTTACTATTCGGAAAAATCTTATTTAATTCGTTTGCCAAAGTCGTTTTTCCTCCACATGTTACTCCGCTGATACCAATTACCAACAATTTATTCATTTTTACAAGAAAATCTGAAATATAACCTTAAATATTAAAGCAAGGTTATGTCAATTTAACCTTAGCGTGTACTTACCATTCAACGAATAATTTAATCAAACCAGTTACGTTATTAATTCGACGTTGTACTAAACCAATAATTTCCGTTTAATCCGGTTTTTATATCCGCGGGAGTGTATCAAGTAATGGCACGTTATTACTTAACGATAACATACGTTTAAACGTTTTATTGACGTAACAGAATTCAAAATATTTTCGCTTGATTTTGTAATCGGATTAATCTTAATTTAATGCGTTTTGTTGCTTACAATAAATTAATATCGTCAGTTTTGATAATGTTTTTATTTCATGCAATTAACTGCAATTTGGTTAGATATTTTGTAATAGTTCTGCTGATAACATATAATTATCACGGGGGGATCATATTTATGCAAAGTTCTTTTTAAGAATTGCTGATTAAGTAGAGAATAATAACTGATAACGTATTTTGACCATGAGGTCTTATTGTTTTAATATGTCGCAAGAATTTTGTATTTGTTTGCTTTTAAAAGTTCATCAAAAAATGTAGAAATAGGATCCTTTATTTTGTTTGTATTATTTATAGCAATTTAAGTCTGTGTAAATAATTATTTATCTGCAATAAATTTATTCATAAAGCTTACTAACCGCAAATAATAGGATGAATTTTCTTTTCTATGTTGTTAGATACAAACACTACAGGATCTATATAAATCATTACAAGTAAGGTATCATCATCATCATCATTGGCATGACAACCCTTTGCGAGTCTTAGCCTGTTAAAAAGTCCTCTTCAGTTCCGACTTATTACGCTTTTTGTTACGATAGTTAGTTATGCCTAGGGTTCTGATATCTGTTAGAATAATTTAGTTGATAATTTTTATGGTTTTGACATAGATAAGATCCTGTTTAAAAATTGGCAAAAATAAAATTCCCGCTAAAGCCATAAAGGTTATGGGCCCAGATCGTGGGTTATAAAGATTGAAATACTCATATAAAATATAATAAGGAGATATAACAGAAAGATATCATATGGGTCAAATAAAGCTATTATCTAACAACAATTATCAGATATGGAAATTTCGAGTTGAGATGTTGTTAATTCGGGAAAATCTTTAGGAAGTTGTGACAAATGAACCACCAACTCCAAAAGAACCTTACAGATAAAAAAGCTCGAGCAACAATTGGATTATTAGTGGATGATACCCAACTGAAACTTATAAAAGGGAAAACAAGGGCGAAAGAAATGTGGTTGCCATTAAAAAACTTCCAAGAAAAATCTACATTAGGAGTGACAACCAGACTACTCAAAAGGTTATGTAAAAGTGTACTCTCAGAAGGCGGTGACATGGAAATTCACATAAGGGAAATGGAGGAACTACTAGAGCAATTAGCAATAAAGTTGCTGGACATATTTTTCCTGAAGAAATGATTGTTATATGTGTGTTGAATAATAGAGGTGACAGTGTGCATCCTTGTCAGAGGCCTTTGGTGATGTTGAAGCTTTCTGATATTTGTTTGTTTATCTTTACTGTTGCTTTTGCCCCTCTGTATAATTCTTGCCACAATTTTTGTTCAGGAATGGTGTCATATGCCTTGGTGAAATCCACAAATAAGAGATGTGTTCTTCTTCCTGTAGCTACTTTCTTCTCTGTGATTTGGTTTAGACTGAATATATTATCAATTCGCCGTTCTACCCGCTCTAAATCACGCTTGTTTTTCCATTTCACATGGTTTCCATTCTTCTTATATCAACTTTTTCACTATTTGACCCTATAGTCTGCTTAAAGTATTTGTGATTGTTAGACATTGGTAGTTATTACAGTTCTTTCTATCTCCTTTTTTATAGGTTGGTGTTTATCCACCCTTTCTTCTAAGCCTCTGGAATTTCTTCGCCATTCGCAAATGGCAAAATGAGTCTGGCGTTGTTGTTTTTTATTGCCTTCGTTTGTGTTATGAACTGACGTCTTTATTCGCTTCCATAACGTTCTTTCCAAACTGATACAGGTATGAGTGGTATGTTTAATTTTTCATTGTCCATTTTTTTAAAATAGCTACTTTTATAACTTTTTTTTACAGCATCTTTATGAAAGTAATACTTTAAATTAGGTTATTTTTATGATCTTAATACATTTTGAGTCTCAATTGTCTACAGTTATAGGATATTTTCCCTTGCAAACAGCTTTTTTTACAATTTTTTTTCTATTTTTAGGTTAGGTCATCATTTGTCATTTCGTCTCAACATTAATTCTTTAAATACTTAACATTCTCACTTCAATAAAAATGTTAAATTATACATTAACACTTTGTCATTAACTGTATTGTCATATCCTTTTCTATTAATTATTGATGTTTATTGTTAGGTTAAAAGTTTTAAACCCAATTTTAATCCAAAAGTTTATTCACATTTTTTTCTACAGTAACTTTATGAAAGTTACTTTTCTACTACTTTAATTAAGTTATTATCATCTTGACACATTTTGAGTCACAATTGTCTACAGTTATAAGATATTTTCCCTTGGAAGCAGCTTTTTTGACAGTTTTTTCCATTTTTAGGTTAGGTTATTTATCATTTCTTCTCAATATGAATTCTTTTAAATACTTAACATTCTAACTCCAATAAAAATGTTAAATTATACATTAACATTTTGTTATTAATTTTATTGTCATATCCTTTCCATTAATTATTGATGTTTATTATTGGCTAAAAAGTTTCAAACCAAATTCTAATCCAAAAGCTTCTTCACATTTTTTTCTATAGTAACTTTATGAAAGTTATTTTTCTACTACTTTAATTTAAGGTTATTTTTATCATCTTGATACATTTTGGCTCTAAATTGCCTTCAGTTATAGGATATTTTCCGTTGAAAACAGCTTATTACCTTTTTTGACAGTTTTTTCTGATTTTTAGGTTAGGTTACTTGTCATTTCTTCTCAATATTAATTCTTTAAATACTTAACATTTTAACTCCAATAAAAATATTAAATTATACATTGCTGTATATATTGTGTTATTAATTTTATTGTGATATCGTTTTCCATTAATTATTGATGTTTATTCTTGGCTTAAAAGTTTCAAACCCAATTCTAAGCCAAAAGTCTCTTCACATCTTTTTTTACAGTAACTTTATAAAAGTTACATTTCTACTACTTCAGTTATGTTATTTTTATCATCTTGATTGTATTTGAATCTAAATTGCCTACAATTATAGGATATTTTCCATTAAAAACAGCTTATTAGGTTTTTGACAGTTTTTGACATTTTTAGGTTAGGTTACTTGTCATTTCTTCTCAATATTAATTTTTTAAATACTTAACATTCTAACTCCAATAAAAACGTTAAATTATCATTGCTGTATATTTTGTTATTAATTTTATTGTGATAATGTACTTTTTATGTTTTAAAATAGTTTTTTTTTAATTGATTCTACTGATTACTGATGAGAGGTACCAACATAAAACCTTTTAAGTACCTTTATAATACACCAACTCTTAAGAACATCATTTATTTATTTATTAACTTAATTACACCACAAGAGACGAGTATATTTATATAATCCATATAAGTTGTATAAATAGATTACTGAAATGATGTTTTTTGGTGTTGCTAAGGGAGGATAAAAATTAATCAACTTTAAGTTTATACTCTTTAATTTATTTTTTTTCGTGATTAAACACGTGTTGAGATAAATTAATATCTTTGCTACTTTTGATAACCTTACAGCGGGGGTTCTGAAAGTGAATAAAAAAACATTTCTACTTAATAATTTGGTTATCATGTTTTTCGAGGTTGTAGTGTGTAATTCATTTACCAATAAATATTAATCTTATAATTTATTTATAGATTTACAATTATAGTTGGACGATTTTGTATCTAGGGCAATTGGATATTTCGTCACTCTTTGTTATCTTAATTGCACCAAGTTGTTTATGGCAATGTTAAAAAATACTTAAATATAACGATTATTATATTTATTCATATTATAATTATTTATATTCTAAATTCTTTTAATTAACTCCGAGTTAAGTATTAAATACATAAAAAGATATATTAAATGCAACCTATATGCCATTAATGAAATGTTGGTTGCCTATATAATTTAAAATGTTTAATTTAACAAATTGAATTAAAATAATGTTCTCAAATGTATTTTTTTTATTAATTTACTAAAACGTTACAGTGTATTATCGCATATACATAACAATTTCTAAAATAATAATAAAAAAAAAGTTAGTTTTTCTGCTACGTCTAAGGGCTGTATAAAAACAATAATAATTATTATAATATATCATCAAATAGAATCAAAACAATTTATCGAGAACAAGAAAACACCGCGATCGCATCTCGCTTGAATTGAAGAAAATAACTTAGATTAGAAAAATTAAAAATAAAAAAAAATTGTTTTAATTCTCAACAGGTAACAGGTTATTTTACAAAAGAATTATCACTAATTAAACCACAGTTAGCACCTTAATAGTTAACGAGTTCATTTCTTTTATTTAATCATTTTATTTTATCAGCACGTCGGCGTCGCTTTGTCGTCTCACTTTTAATAAAAAATTCCAAACCAACTTGTTTTATTTCTTTTTACTCACTAAGGTCTTTGGTTTTAAACTATTTATTTCTTTTTTACATTTAATAGTAATAGGTAGTAGTAGGTAGTAGTTTTGTGCACATTTCCAAATCGGTTCTTTATTATTTATGCTTTGCGTCTATAATTTGCTTTATTAAAAAGAGTTTTAAACAAATTTAGCTTTTAATTTACATTCTGTTAGAAACGTGCGATTAAATTCTTCTCGGGGTTTTTACAACAACTTAAACGAAGGGCTTAATAACAAAACATGCAAAATTTTTCATTTTTTTTCTTAAAGAATTAATTCGCTTTGCATATTTTTTATTTAATAATCACACAATATAACGTAAAATTATACAAAAAAAATAATAAAATAAAATAAAAATAAAATAAAACGGTTTAGTTGCGGGTGGAAACGAAGGGTTAGCGCTTTTTATACCATTAATTGACTAAGTCCTATTTATTTATTTTTCTTTTTTTTTTATTACGAGAACGGAAACACATCGAAAGCTCGCCTTACCATATGAAAGTATCAAAAATATCTCTTTCTCACGGAAACTGTCTACTCCAAACTTACGTTTCTATTTATTTCTTTTAATTTATTTCTTTTCGTTTTTTCGATGAAATCATTTTGGAGAAAACTAGGTTTCAAACGAAGCGTTTTTAAATCATTCATAATTTTTCCTTTCAGATGATGTTTGTTATTATTATTCTTTTTTTTTGGACACTACAACGTAGAATTAGTATTTTGGTCCAAAAATCCTAGTCTCCCAAAGAAAATTTATTACTTTAGTTTATAATTATTAATTTTTTCTTTAAATATCCGCTACACACATTTATATTTTACGTTACTATTTTACATTTATCTTGAAATTCTTTATTTCAATCTTCTTTAATTCTTTAATACGCGAAAAGAGTGTGAGTTTATCAATTTGAATGAAAATATGATATGTAAATTTACAGTTGTTTTTGTTTAATAATCCTCTTCATTTTCTTTTCTTTTTTTAAATTAACAATATTGGGTGTAACAGTTTACGTGCGAGATGTGATTGTAGAATTTTGGGGCTTTATCGCATAAATTATCCACAAAGATTCCGATTTTAGCGGCCCCATTTCGAACCACAACCACTGAAGGAGGAGGCGGAGGCTGAAAAAGCTAAGTTGGTTCCACGACGATCGGTTATTTACATATTTACAGTCAATTGCGGGCGGCGGCGGCGGCTGCTTCTTCAACGACGTCGATTTTAAACTATGCTAGTCGCCTGGATGTTCGGGACACGAACGGTTTATTTCGAACCATTGATCTATACATCTAAAATTAAAAAAATCAATTACAACAAAATCAAAAAGAAAGCTTACGTCAAATTAATCAAATAAGTCAATAAATGTCTGTGCCATATTTTTTAAAAAACATCCCTCCCGGCGTTTACGACGATATAACATATTTAACGAGAAAAGATGATTTATACAACGAAGCAATCGAAATGTTAAACAAATCGAATGAAATTAGTATTTTTCCGGTTATGATTCCGTTTAGTAAACCGGAAATCCTAAGTTTATTGCTGATTAGTACTGAAAATTTCGTTTTTATTTTCGATATTTTGGCGTACGGGAACCAAAAGGTCCCCGAAGAATTCTCGAAAATCTTCTTGTCGAAAAAGAAAAAGATCGTTTTCGATAAAAATCGGACTTTCTCGCGATTGGGGTTTAACACGGCGGAAATAAACGTGCCCCATATAGTCGATATAAAAATGTTGGATTATCTTTATAATTTAATTAGGAATCCTGGTCAAAATCCGAATCGGAAATTGTTGCATTGCATGGAGGAATGTTTTCCGCAGGCTAAAACATGGATTGATATTTCTGCAGTATGTTTCGAAAAAAATTTAAACCATTTTTATTGATTTCTTTTATTAGCTGTTAGTGTTTGTTAATTGGATTGATCGGCCACTTCTTCAAATGCAACATATGAAAATAGGAAGATTTGCAAGTTTTTTATTACCCACGTGTAAAGTTTTAGAAGATAAATTAACTGATTGTTTAAGTTAATATTTTTATTAATCAAACTTTTCTATTATCACAAATGTTAAGATGAAATTAATATTATTTTAATAAATAACAAGAACCATGTCTGTCTTTAAGTAGTGTCATGAATGATATTGATTGGATTTACAGAGTAACATTGAGAGAGACCATGTTAAAGGATACTAAGTAGGATTTTGAGAGATGTTTGAGATGAAATTGAGTGTATCAGACGACATTTACTGCATTCATTTTAAAAGCTTGAGTGCTGTCTGAGACAATGTTGAGGAGTTCCAAGAAAAGTATTGAGGGATGTCCGGAAAAATGTTGAGCAATGGTATTAAAATGTGTTGAGGGGTGTCCAGGATGATGTTGAAGAGTACAAAGAACTTAGTAAAATATACTCTGAATAACGACTAGAAGTATCAAAGTTGTTATTCACGAATATCTGAGATGGCGAGACGCTGTTAAGGCTTGGAATAACCAATATTTGATATTCGGTATCCCCTTCGGCCAGATATCCGGTTATCCGGCATATCTATACGGCCATTATGGTTATAATTTCTGGTGCATTTCTGAAGTGATACCCTACATTGCCGCATTATTACGATATTTGTCTAAAAATGAAATTAATAAGAAAGCTGATTTAAGATATGTCAACTTATTTGGATCCAAGATACAAGATGAATTTTTTTGATGCTGATTTAACTAACGAAGCAACTCTAATTGGCGATATTTCCACAAGGTTCCCTCAAGAAATGAATTTTCTAGTGAATTTTGAAAGTTACCGATGAAAATTGCAACATCGAAAATTTTAGCGAAACTTAAAATATTGTTTTCTCAAAAACTAAAAGATATTTTTCAAAACGGGTTGGTTCATTGGAAAGAGGACACTTTTATTAACACTTTCTGAAATTTTCATACCCATATTCCAAGAACTGGATTTTATACGAATTTTTAAAACTTAATCGGCGAAAATTGCAAAATTCGAAAAAATTGTCGATTATTTCAAAAATTTATTTCTCAAGAACTGCAAGTGATTTTCCAAAACGGCTTTTTGCATTAAAAAGAGGATACTTTAATTAATAATTGGTGATATTTTCACAAGGATCCTTCAGGAAATTAATTTTATAGCGAATTTTGAAAGTTATCGATGAAAATTGCAACATCGAAAATGTTATCAAAACTTCAAATATTGTTTTCTCAAAAACTAAAAGATATTTTTCAAAACGGGTTAGTTCGTTGGAAAGAAGACACTTTTATTAACACTTTGGGTAATTTTCATATTCATATTCCAAGAAATGGATTTTATGCGAATTATTAAATTTAATCGGCGGAAATTGCAAAATTCGAATAAATTGTCGATTATTTTAAAAATTTATTTCTCAAGAACTGAAAGTGATTTTTCAAAACGGCTTGTTGCATTAAAAAGAAGATACTTTAATTAATAATTGGTGATATTTCCACAAGGATCCTTCAAGAAATTAATTTTATAGCGAATTTTGAAAATTATCGATGAAAATTGCAACATCGAAAATTTTATCAAAACTTCAAATATTGTTTTCTCAAAAACTAAAAGTTATTTTTCAAAATGGGTTGGTTCATTGGAAAGAAGACACTTTTATTAACACTTTGGGAAATTTTCATACTCATATTCCAAGAACTGGATTTTATACGATATTTTAAAACTTAATCGGCGAAAATTGCAAAATTCCAAACAATTTTCTATCATTTCAAAAATTTATTTCTCAAGAACTGAAAGTGATTTTTCAAAACGGCTTGTTGCATTAAAAGGAGGATACTTTAATTAATAATAGAAAGTGATATCAGCAACAGTTCTGTTAGTAATGAATCTGATGATGAATTACAAGCAAAGAGAAGAAAACTAGACGAACCTGCAAGAAGAGATTTTACATATCGTATTGGGATTGTTACAATGAGGTTGCTAATGATAAATAAAGTGGTATTCAATGAAAAAAGTCTTATTGGGGTTGCACTTGATTATTATCTGAGTGTCACATCTAAAAGAGATACTAATTCACGTGAATGATGGAGTACTAAGTAATAAGTTTTTAATAGGAATTTTAAAAAATTGTTCGTTCCACCACTAGTTGATAGAGGAATGATATTCAAAGATATTTGGGACGGTGTTGAAAAGTACTCAGGATGATGTTTAGGTACGTTAGAAATTATATTGTGAGTTACCAGATATCGTTTTAAGAGATATGTGAAACTACGTTGACAGTAAAAGTTTGATGATGAGGTGATGATAATGAATTAAGGAATATTAAAACTTTACCGAGGGTTGGTAAATATTATAATGAAAAAAGTTTGCGGCAATGTTAAAAAGCGTCTGGGATGTTATTCAGAAATATCCAGGATAAAGAGAGTATTGAAGAATATATAAGTCTATACTGATCATTAATGATGTAGTGTTGTATCAGGGAAGATATTGGGATTTATCATATACATAACAGGAACCATCTTAAAAAGTCTTATTTAGGAATGTTCGAGACGACGTTTAAGAGTATTAGAGTTAATATTGAAGACGGCTAGGAATATTTTAAAGTGCACAAGCACGATATAGAATTATGTCCGAGACGGTAATTAAAATTGTCGGGGGCAGTGATGATAATTATCTGAAATTATGTTAAGATTTACAAGAAGGATCTGAGGAGGTGAGAGGTCTACAGGATGATATTAAGGGATGTCTAGGGTGATATTTAAGAGCGCAAACACGATATAGAGGCATGTCCGAGACGCTATTGAGGATTGTCAGTGACACTATTGATAATTATTTGAGACTATATTAAGAATTTACAGGGAGCATATTCAAAGACGTTCGGGATGCTGTTGAGGGATGCCTAGAATGATGTTGAGGTGTGCTAAGGACGGTATAGATGAATGATCTGGATGATTTTGATGGGTGGGTATCAAAGACGATATAGAGCAATGACTCCCAATTATTTTATTTTCCCTGTAGCAATTTAACCCCAATTACTTTTATCCAATTCCACTATATTTTACTTTACTTCTCTACTACTAAACTACAAGTTTTGCTTAAAAAACTCATCTTTAGAATCTCGATATCTTACGAAAACACAATCGATACCATGAAATGCATGAAACATTTTATTATGATATTTAGAAAACAGGAAAATGAATTAAAGTGCACATAAATTCAAAAATACTTTTAACCTTCGAGCCCCAATGTCACTTTTCTCATGTCTAAACCAGTTTGGTTGACATACTTTGTAACAGATTTGAACAAATCTTCTCGTAGCGGTCTTTGAAATGGACAAAGTCGTCAGTTGATCTTTTTGAAAATCATTTTGATTTTTAAATAATATATTTTAAGCATCTGCCAAATCACTTTTTTACAATATCTGGATCTGTATATAAAGTTATATATGTTTGGCCAGAATACAAGAAATACATAAAGATGAGTTTGAATTTTTATCACCTTAGCTAGATCATCAGCAATATATTTGGAACATAGTCTTCCTTATTAAAAGTCTGACATATTTGTATATCACCATTAAAGTTTTCTGTTTGTAAGAAGTTTAGAGATGCAACCTATTTCGAATTCATCACTGAGAAGGTACCATTTCTTTGGGATCTCCCAATTATCAGAATAATCAGAACTTAAGTGAGGCACCCCCAAAAGTACTTCCTGATTAATTTCTATCAGTTAGAGGATAACGACTTTGAGTACTGATATAAATTTGTTTGTAAACCGTAATTTACGATAGTCCGAAAGTATCAATATAATTTTTGTTCTTAACTCTTGCATCTCAAAATCTTACTTACCCTTTATGGTATATACATAAACATGGTAATCGAGCTATCACATCGCCTTGACTTAATTCTTCTAAGCAAATCACACATTCGCCTTTATCATCAGTCAAAATGTCTTCTACAAAAATACAAAGTATAATTAATAACATTATTAAAGACTAGAAAAAAATCTTACCGTTGTAGGAAAGTCGTGGTTTCGTTAGGCACATAACCAGATGGCACTCAATATCATCGTCAGGAATGACAAATTTGCTGCACATAGGGCATTTAATTCCTGAAAATAAAAAAAATTAAAATAAACCACCATCATAAATAACAACAAATAATCAAAATAAATATCGCGGTTCCAATAAATATTTGAGTATAATATTAAAGTTTAACCATTTTAAACATTCTCTCTTCATCATCTTTTAGCACTCAACCATACCATTCATTATAAAATAAACGCTTTAAAGTGTCTAAATGGTGCCGTATAATTAACGCGTAAACAGTTAAAATTTATTTAATGACCTCCTAACGATCTAATAAATAGCAGCACCAGCAAAAGACGTAGCTGTGTAATGGTTGCCTTTTTCATCTCTCATCATATAATGTTTTCCTTTAATTAATTAAACTTGGAAACGAATAACGTAGGGCTTCGCGCTCGTAAACGTTAATAAAGGCTTCACGTGGAACGATTTTTTTAGATTTAACAAATCAACCAGAAAATTCAATCAGACCATTTTACTATTATAACGCTAAGAGAAATCTTGATCGACAATTAATCAATTTCTAATACATAGTTAAACGAATTATTCCGGATGTTAAAAAGTTCCTAACGAGGTTGGATCTAGTTAGTTGAAAACGGATCGATACTCAATAAGCCACGACTAGTCATTGAGGTTGTATAACGAGGGTTCGTAATTAACACGAACACAATTCCCACTCAGACGACTAAATCTAAACACTCTTTTCTTATCCCTGTATCTTCTTTTATAATTTCTTTTTTTAACGACATGTAAAACATTTCATTATTTTATTTGTGTTGATTAAACCCGAAATTTTCTAGTTCTAGATCTAGTTTTAGTTCAATGAAGAATATACAACTATCTAACGCTCAATAACAACTAATACTGGAATTAACACTAGCATTAAAGCTAGCACTAGATCTAGAACTAGAAACATTCAGCTTTAGCCGTCTTAAGAGAAGTACGGCTAAACCTGAATGTTTCTAGTTCTAAGTCTAGTGGTAGTTCTATTTTTACTTCTAGAAAAATATACAACAATTTAGCACTGAATAATAAAAACTAGAACTAACACTAGAGCTAGAATTAGAAACATTCGGGTTTAGCCGTGCGTCTTCAGACCCAACCTAACCCAACCCAACCCGAAACTTTCTAGTTCTAGGTCTAGTGTTAGTTCTAGTTTTACACTAGCACTGTTACTATGTAGAACTAACACTATACCTAGATCTAGAACCATTTGGGTTTAGCCGCACGTCTTTAAAGACGGCTAAATCCGAATGATTCTAGTTCTAGGTATAGTGTTAGTTCTAGTTTTACACTTGCACTGTCACTAGAACTAACACTAGACTTAGAACTAGAAACATTCGGGTTTAGCCGTCTTATGAGACGCACGGCTAAACACGAATATTTCTAGTTCTAGGCCTAGTGTTAGTTCTAGTAATAGTGCAATGAAAAATGTACAACAATATAACGCTGAATAACAACTAAAACTAGAACTAACACTAGCATTAGAGCTAGCACTAGATCTAGAACTAGAAACAATCGGGTTTAGCCGTCTGAAGAGACGTTCGGCTAAACCTGAATGTTAGTTCTATTTTTACTTCTAGAAAAATATACAACAATCTAGCATTGAATAATAAAAACTAGAACTAACACTAGACCTAGAATTAGAAACATTCGTGTTTAGAGGTGCGTCTCATAAGACGGCTAAACCCTAATGTTTCTAATTCTAGGTCTAGTGTTAGTTCTAGTGACAGTGCAATGAAAAATATACAGGGTCCGGCAGTGATAAGGAAAGATTTAAAGTTGGGTTTGCAGCGCGCCGCGAAGTGATGGGGAAGAAAGTAGCCAACTTGCCAAGACCTGCATAATTTGCCATTTAGTTTACAATGGAGCGTTGGACGGGTGGTGAGTAGCGCGGTTACGCAGTTAAAGCCTATTTTCAAAACGGAGAGATTTCGGCAAATGGGTAAATCATCGGTCCATATTTTTTTGAAAATGAGGCTGAAAATGCCGTTATCGTTAATTCTGTACGATATGTTGCAATGATTCAGAATTATCTCACACCACAACTTGAAGGCCTTCCAGGGAATGAAGACACACTTTTTCAACACGACGGGGTAACAAGTCACACTACAAGAATTTCAATGAATGCTGTAATTGCTTTGAAACGGCGATATCAGTTGGCCCCCTCGGTCTCCCGACCTAACCGCATGCGACTTCTTTCTTGCAGAGCTTCTTTATGCAAAATTTTTAGACAGGACTCCAAGAATACATAAATTGTAACGGAGGACATTTGGCAGATGTAGTATTCAAAAAATAATTTTTTTGACTTTGTAAACCAAATGGCAAATCATGCAGGTCTTGGCAAGTCGGCTACTTTCTTCCCCACCACTTCGCGGCGCGCTGCAAATCTTACCTTAAATCTTTCCTTTTCACTGTCGGACCCTGTACAACAATCTAACGCTGAATAACAACTAAAACTAGAACTAACACTAGCATTAGAGCTAGCACTAGATCTAGAACTAGAAACATTCGGGTTTAGCCATCTTAAGAGACGTCCGGCTAAACCTGAATGTTTCTAGTTCTAAGTCTAGTGTTAGTTCTATTTTTACTTCTAGAAAAATATACAACAATTTAGCACTGAATAATAAAGACTAGAACTAACACTAGACCTAGAACTAGAAACATTCAGGTTTAGCCGTTAGTTCTAGTTTTAGTTCAAGTAAAAATATACAATAATCTAAAGCTTAATAACAACTAATATTAGAATTAACACTGGTATTAAAGCTAACACTAGATCTAGAACTAGAAACTAAATAATCCGAATGTTTCTTTTCTAGGTCTACTGTTAGTTCTACTTTTAGTTCAATAAAAGTATGCAACAATCTAGCGTTGTATTACAATTAAAAACAGAACTACCATTCTTGATTTATACAGAGTGTCCCGCTAAGGGTACGGAGCGGCTGTAACTCGATAACGGTAAGGCTTAGAGGTTTGGGAAAAAATCCTTATAGGTAAAATGGGCAAGAGAATTAGCTGGAAAGCTTTTGAAGGTTCGAATAGAGAAACATAAAATTCCGGCAATCTCAGAAAGTTGGACGATGAGCTATAACTTTGACAAAATCATTTAGTAGCTTGGATAACACTGCATCGCTTTTGTTTTGCGATATTTTTCATATCTGTTATAATAAGGGAGGGGGAAGCCAATACGTTTTCAAATGTTTACATTTTAATATCTTCTGGACCATTCAACCGATTTGAATATTTTTGTTCTTGTTTGAAAGAGCATTTGGTGCTCTTTTAAAAGATATTTTCGGTAAGACTGTTTCGTTTAAAACAAATAAGTTACAGGGCGTTACCTACAGCGATTACATATTTTTGTGATTTTTGAAAAAAAAAAATAAATGGAACGGTACTATTTACTTCACAGATCCTTAGTGACCTTAAAATTTGCTAAATATTAGTGAAAACCGCATCTCGATATCGCCATCCGTTCTCGAATTGTAGAAGAAAATGTTAAAAACTCGAGTGCCACTAATCGGATCCAGTTACTTTATCGAGAAAAACAAATCACATAACCATGGTAACAGTAAACATGTCATTTACTACTTACTGCGCAGAAGCGTATGATAGAGCATATGATGATTTATTTTTAATGTTTCGAATATGATGCAACTGCATGGCAAAAATGTGCAATGCAATTACGACAAAAAAGACACTTTTCTCTAGAAGTGTTTTTAAGGTTGGTTTAGCGATTTCGGGAAACTGGCAACGTGTAGCCCATTCAGACATCTCTATGAATTCGTAATCACATTGGTGAGCAATGCGATCCCACATAATCTGGCCACCTCGAAAAGAATTGTCCACAAGATTCCTCAATAGAATAATATGTATCTCCACCACATTGTTTTATATCAGGCCTTAACAGATACTGATTATGATAACAGACTAAACTATTATCATTGACTTTTAAATATGATTCGGGCAAATCCAAACCTTTTATCACAAATGCTATGGATGCATGAAGCATCTCTCAACAAGCTGCTGTAAACTTGCATAATATGCATTCTTGGTTCGAGCAAAACCCACATTGCTTTCACCCCTTTATCTATTGGGTGCACTAAACGACCTGAGTTTTCAAGAAAAACCAATAACCAGGGAAAATATGATAAAACGCTAAATGTCATTAGAAACGTGTCCAAGACTGAGACTTAAAATGCGTTTTTTTTTCAGCATTTCGAACATTTGTGAGTTATTTTTGCCAAAAATTTAAGTAATTCTAAGTTGTTGATGTTTCTTTGATCCGTTGGCTCTTAAACACGAATCAAAAGTAGTTTTGAACCAGTTCTAAGCTTGGATAAAGTGTCACGGAAAGTTCTAGGTAATAACATTTTTGTGCTCTTCTTATTTTTTTGTTAAGATAACTTGATCCGATGAAGATATACGAATTTTTAACATTCTCTTTTAATTATTATTATTGGACATGTTGCATAATATAATACATAATAGTTATGACAGCTCAGTTTGATTTTCACTTTTCATTGCCAATTCAGATTATTTATTTATTTTATTTTTTTTAGTGTTATTAAATTCGGAGCCTAACATTTTTGCATCTAATACGAAAACGGTGGTTTTTATCAATATTCTCTAAGAGTGATAAAAGTTTTTAAACTAAATTTACTATTAGAACGTGCAAAAATAAATGTAGGGTTATGATAGAATAAAATAGTTCTGAGCAAACAAACTTTAGGAACAGCCTGTATAGCATTGTTACCGCGTACCGATCCAACTCAAAAATTCCCTAATTTAATTTCAACCCTTTATCATAAATAGTGCTTAAGATATTTAGAAAAATGTGTTAAAATTTCTTAACTTTGATTTTTACATGAATCGTCATCATTTTTATTCTAGTACATGTGGTTACATTTGTTCCCTGAGACCACCGAAACACACTGTAGACAACTGGGGGGAATACCCCGAATTTATCTATGAACATGGAATAAAGCAACTTGAGGAACAACCCAAGTTATATGCTACCTATGAGCGC